CAGTGACATGATAAGCATGGAGTAGTGGAATGTTGGGAATTCCTAGGAGGACGTATCGAGACATCGCTCCATTCAGGGAGCATGGCTTTGATGGCTGGGGGGATGCCAGCTGATAGATTCTATGTGGCCTTTCTGGTACATGGCCAGAGGTAGAAAAAATAACCTGAGACTCTAAAAACAAGCTGGCAAACACCAAAGTGTAGCAATACATATATACAGCTGCAGGCCTGTCTTAATGTGGCTCCATTCTCACTGAATCCAGAAGCACACAGGGGATACTTCATAACCTCCATACCAACTCGTTAGTCCGGTCCTGCTCTGGTCTTTCACCAAGTTGTTACAGGGGAGCTGGACCACACAGTGGGTCACAAATAGCTTCATTATGTGTCATAAGTGACTAGGATCTATATTAAATTAAAGTTAACTCAGTTTGTCCTGAAATATTATGTTTCATTGCATGCACTTTACGTATGAGTGTTTTTGTCATACTGCATTACCGAAACGCAGCAAATTGTTCCATTTAGGTTTTCCTTCCTTCATAACAGTCAAAGGAAGTGTGCATGAATAACACGACAAGCAAAAGTAATATATATTTACTTATCTATTTTATATCTGTTTTTGTTTTACATAGTTTTATTTGATTTTGTCAAAGGTTTTTCCAGGGAAGTTGGGCAACAGGGCTTGGACAATGAATTTGAAACACTGGCCAAACTGGTGCTTGATGTGTCACACATAAATATCTGCGGCCTGGTAGCCACTCTTCCTTGATTGTACATACCATCACAAGCCATAAAACAGCTGTGCATAAAATATTGCAATCCACACAACATATCCACATAACAGTTCAAAAGCGAACAAATTGTAGGTGCATGTCTCACTGACACATCTGTGACCAGGACAGCAAGTGTTTGTGGTGTATCGAGAGCCATGGTATCCAGGGTAATAACAGCAAACCACCACGAAGAACGGACCGCATCCAATAGGAGTAACTGTGGATGCAAGAGGAAACTGACTGAAAGGGATGTCCTGGTACTAACCTGTCAATATTCATGGTCGGGCTGCTATAGCCAAACCATTGGTCATTCGTACGCATGCCAATCTCCAGCCCAGCCACCCTGTGGAGACAACTCATTTTGGCCGCTTGTACTTGCGATCTAGTTCTTTCGGTCACTACCCACAGCTCATGACCATAGGTGAGGGTAGGAATGTAGATCGACTGGTAAATCGACAGCTTTGCCTTTTGGCTCAGCTCCTTCTTCACCATGACAGACCGATGCGGTGCCCCCATCACTGCTGACGCCACACCGATCCGCCTGTTTATCTCCCGCTCCATCCTTCCCTTACTCGTGAACAAGACCCCGAGATACTTAAACTCCCCCACTTGGGGAAGGACCCCCTCCCCGACCCAGTGAGAGCATTCCACCCTTTTCCGGCTGAGGACCATGGTCTCGGATTTGGAGGTGCTGATTCTCATCCCAGCCGCTTCACACTCGGCTACGGACTGTCCCAGTGAGAGCCGTGGGTCCAATGAAGCCAACAGAACCACATCATCTGCAAAAAGCAGAGACCTAATCCTGAGGTCACCAAACCGGACACCCTGAACACCCTGGCTGCGTCTAGAAATTCTGTCCATAAAAACTATGAACAGAATCGGTGACAAAGGGCAGCCCTGACGGAGTCCAACCCTCACCGGAAACGAGTCCGACTTATTGCCGACCATGTGGACCTAGCTCTGACACCGGTCATACAGGGACCGAACAGCCCTTATAAGGAAGCCCGGCACCCCATACTCCCGGAGCACTCCCCACAGGACTCCCCGAGGGACACGGTCGAATGCCTTCTCCAAGTCCACAAAACACTCCGGATCTCATCCACCCCCGGGCCCGGTCACTGAGGAGCTTTTTAACCACCTCAGCGACCACGGCCCAAGAGATAGGGGAGTCCACCTCCAAGTCCCCAGACTCGGCTTCCTCATTAGAAGACATGTTGGTGGGATTGAGGAGGTCTTCGAAGTACGCCCTCCACCGACCCAAAATGTCCCTAGTTGAGGTCAGCAGTGCCCCATCCCTACCATAAACAGTGTTGATGCTGCACCGCTTTCTCGCCCTGAGACACCGAATGGTGGACCAGAATCTCCTCGAAGGCATCTTTTTCCATGGCCTCGCCAAACTCCTCCCACACCCGAGTTTTTGCCTCGGCGACCGCTGAAGCTGCATTCCTCTCAGCCCGCCGGTACCTGTCAGCTGCCTCTGGAGTCCCATAGGTCAAAAAGGCCTGATAGGACTCCTTCTTCAGCTTGACGGCATCCCTCACCACCGGTGTCCACCAACGGGTTCGGGGATTGCCGCCGCGACAAGCACCGACCACCTTACGGCCACAGCTCCGGTCAGCCGCCGCCACAATGGAGGCAGGGAACAAGGCCCATTCGGACTCAATGTCCCCCGCCTCCCCCGGAACATGGGAGAAGTTCTGCCGGAGGTAGGAGTTGAAGCTCCTCCTGACAGGGAATTCCGCCAGACGTTCCCAGCAGACCCTCACTATATGCTTGGGCCTGCCAGGGGGGGAAGCCGGTGACCTGCGTCCGGGCAAGGGAAATCATGGATCTAATGTTTTTCTTTCCATTAGGGGTCTAGTGAGCCACACTTCGTCTGGTTCCTCACCCAAGACCTGTTTGCCTTGGGTGACCCTACCAGGGGCATAAAGCCCCAGGCAACATAGCTCCTGGGATCATTGGAACACGCAAACCCCTCCACCACGATAAGGTGTCGGCTCCAGGAGAGGACCACATACATGTTCACCCAATGGTTCGAATATTGTACCTTGAAGATGGTGCTGTGGATCAGGGTGATAATGCACTAATACACACAACAAGACTGGTAACAGAGTGGTTTGATGAACAGTGAAGTTGAACATCTCCCATGGCCTGCAAAATCACCAGATCTGAACATGATGGAGCCACCTTGGGGTACTTTGGAGGAGCGAGTCGGGCAACGTTTTCCTCCACTACCATCATGTAGCGACCTGGACACTGTTCTGTTGTTGCTTCTCAAAAGTCCATTGTATAAGATTTGTATTTGTATATGTGTATGTGTATATGCATGTGTGTGGTCTGAGATGGACTGGCATCTCATTTAGAGCATAGCACTGCCATTTACCCTATGCTGTCTGGGATGGGCTTCTGGGCTTTAGAACCATACCCCCCAACCAGAATAATGGCTGAAAGGTGGATGGATGGATGGTACAGTAGGTAGGTACATGTTTCAAAACCAGTGATTCTGAACAACAGAATTAGAGATATGGGACTGACAGCAAGTGAGTTTATTTTTTTATAGTATTTTTAAATCATAGCCTGTCAGATTTAATGTTTGTCTGGGCATGAAACAGTCAGGCACACTTACATTTTTTAACTATCAGCTTGATCTGACAGTTGTTGTACTCAGGACAGCTTTTTTATCATCTCTTCTTTTGTTTTTCATTTTGTTTTGTTTGTTTTTTGTATATGGAGAAAATAATGATAATAATGGACACATAATGTCCTGTCTTCCATCACTAGTATTTCTGTTTGCCTGTTAATAAAATACAAGACAGATGGTAATTAAAAGTTCATTGTATATGAAAACACGGGCAAACAATAACCAGTGTCAAAATACAGCTAAAAAGTGAAAACAATAGTTTATAATGTGCCCCATCCTGGATTATAATGTGCCCCATCCTGGATTGTTCCCCACCTTGCACTCATAGTTTCCAGGATAGGCTTCCAACCCCTGCAATCCTGAACAGGACACACAGGGTATTGAAAATGGATGGATGGATGGATAATATTTGAGTTTACTTGCATCTCTAGCAATTGTAAAACCCAAGTGAGCGATATGACTGGGACATTGTCTGCCCACTGTGTGTATTTAACTTGGTGTTAAATAATCAAAGTTGGCTGATGGCAGAGATACATTAGCACCATCCCAGCAGTCCAGGACGCTGGTAATATAAGCAGTCCGTCTGTCATCCACAGTGCATGGTGGGCAGCAGCGCTAGCGCTTTTAGTGAAAAAATCCTGTTAAGTACTTTGTCATCTGCTCGCAGATCATTGAGTTCTCTCTTATCCACTTCCCTTTATTGTAATGGAACTGGCTTGCAGTTGTTTGTCATGAAATGTACCTTTGTTCCATGCAATGCGAAAGATATCATGTGGTGCTCGAAAGACTTTTAAGCTAAAGTATGGTGCGAAGCAAAGTGTTTGGAGCCAACAGCATACCAAATGGCAGACTTGGCTTAGAGCCCGACGGACAGATCACATTGGATTAGATAAGTGATCGACCTTTATGAGATAACATTTAGGCATCAGAGGCAGATTGTAGAAAGAGACACTTTTGGAATTATGTGTCACAAGAATGGGCTAAGTTTTACTTTTAAGATGTCAAAATGGTCTCAGGTATGCTGTTCCCCAACATATCCTGGCTGTGTAAAGGACATCAGCAGGGAATCTAACAAGTGGTGTGAATTGTTAAGACAGGAAGGAAGATTGCCTTGCTCCTCTCTCTCAGTTACTGCTCTATCTTGTATTGGAGCTGGTATCAAGCCTCATTCTATTATATGCTCTAAATGTGGTTTGGACTCTAGAGGCATTGCATGAAGTATTATGGACACAATGGTCAAGAGATTCAATGAAGGGCAAATGCTTTAACGTCCTTTAATAGTACAATTTGAATTTGAGGAAGATAAAAAAAACAAAAAACTTTTGTGTATACAGTGAGTTCTTTTTTGTTCTGTAACCCTGGGCTTGAATTTTAGCCAAAACAAGGGTATAGAAATAGATGATGTATTGTTTTGTTTCTTACCCCTTTGTTCTAACACAAAAGTGTGTGGCCTAACATTAAGGCATTATTAATATGAAGACAACAACCCCTATGAATTCAGCGAATGTGAGTGTGATGTTGTGTATGTCTCTGACTTCCCCCCATCTCTCTCTCTCCTGACTTGCCTTTGACTTTTCCCTTGCCCAGCCTGACGAGCTGACCAATGCCCTGGAGATCAGCAACATTGTCTTCACCAGCCTGTTTGCTCTGGAGATGCTTCTGAAGGTCCTGGTGTACGGACCCTTTGGCTACATTAAGAATCCTTACAATATCTTTGACGGAATCATTGTGGTGATCAGGTGAAGGAAACTCGAAGTCTTCAAAGTTCCAAAAATGAACAAAAAAAGATTAACTAATATGTTTCACGTATTAGTGTTAATAAGTAGAATTTGCATTGCTGTGATGATTTTGCCTGGCTTTGGGGTCATGTGCTTTAAAACATCCCGTCTTCATCAAACTCGCACAGCGTGTGGGAGATAGTCGGCCAGCAGGGCGGCGGTCTGTCGGTGCTGCGGACCTTCCGGCTGATGCGCGTGCTGAAGCTGGTGCGTTTCATGCCAGCTCTGCAGAGACAGCTAGTGGTGCTGATGAAGACCATGGACAATGTAGCCACCTTTTGCATGCTGCTCATGCTCTTCATATTCATCTTCAGGTGAGACTGACAGGGAAGAGAAGTTAATCGTAATGTGTGGTAGTCCATGCCCTCCCAACGGTATATTGTAAGAGATGTGACATTGTCACTCATCTGACCTGTGACTTCCCTCCAAATAAAACTAGGATGCTGGCATTTCAGATATTTTCTTTTTTTTTTTTTTTTTGTAGAGCGTCTGTGAGCTCGGCCGTGGTTTGGCAAGCATGCAAACAAAATGTATTAAAAAAAGCCAAGGAAGAATGTGCTGTGGGCTTCAAAATGGAAATATGTAACTAAATAAACACCCACTGCTCTGTGAAGAGGAGCCAAACTCACAAACTGGAGAAGGATACGGATATCCCTATACAAACCTTGATTAATGTTAATGTTATTTAAAATGTGCAAATGGGAAAAAATGAAAAGAAGGAAGAACGTATAAATAATGATTTTAAAAAGAAACAGAAAAAAAAACAAATCGAGTGAGACGTTGCATTCTTTCTTTGCATATTTTGTTCCTGTATTTCTGTTTGCAGTATATTGGGAATGCACCTTTTTGGCTGCAAGTTCGGCTCTGAGCGGGATGGGGACACCTTGCCTGACCGCAAGAACTTTGATTCGCTGCTTTGGGCCATCGTCACTGTTTTCCAGGTGAGCTTGCAGGGTCCTTAGGCCACGATTCATGCGTATGTTCTTTGGCAGGTCGGGCCCAAGGCATAAGTGAACTAAGTAGCTGCCTAGGGCCCAGCAGCCACCAGGGGGCCCCTCATCTGATCAGTCTGTCAGAATGAGAAAGAAGATGACAAATGACAGCTAGGTTATTCAAATTTTGCTTAGGGTCCCAAAAAGGTTTGAGCTGGTTCTGTCCTTTGGGTTCCTTATTATATGCTGTGTGGTGTGCTCCAGATCCTGACTCAGGAAGACTGGAACAAAGTGCTGTACAACGGCATGGCCTCCACCTCCCCGTGGGCAGCGCTGTATTTCATCGCCCTCATGACTTTTGGCAACTACGTTCTATTCAACCTGCTGGTGGCCATTCTGGTCGAGGGCTTCCAGACAGAGGTAAAGTTGCTCTGTTTCAGCCTGCAGTCTGTTCCGTCTGGCTTTTCCCTCCCTTTTCTCATATTCCTTCTGTCTCCACTCTCCTTACCGCAATCTTTATTTCCAGCTCAACCCGCCCGTTTGGCTCACACCTTTCCTCCTCTCACACTTACTCTTTGCTCTTTGTCTCATGCCAGTCGTTTGCAGGAGGCCATCTGTGGCCTTCAGCGTGTCAGACCACCGTGGGAGATCATGTGCTGAAGTTCAGCTCCAGCCTGTCACATGGTCTCTTGGCTCCAGGCACATCTCACCTCTTCTTCTATGTCCTCCTCTCCTTTCCTTTCTCCTCAGTGTTGCTAAAACCTTTTGACACCGACCACATTAACAGGGTCTATTTGTGCACATCTTAAAAGAATAATTAAATGGGACGTTCGAGTGTTTGTTTAGGATGTAAGTTGTGGTACAGGACTCCAGGTAATATGTTTTTGGCAGGAGAATTCTGAGTTGCTTTGTCATAATCTTGGCTGTATGAGACATAATCACAAATCTCGCCTCAAACTCTGTTTTATTTGCAATGGGGCCTCCTTCTCGCTGAACTGCAGCTGAACTGATGCTTTGTCTTCTCCTTCTGGGAGACGTACTCAGACAGCAAATATCAGGGGCTGCTCTCTTTCAAGATGTAGATCTGAGGCAGCATAAAAAAATGAAGGCTGCTTCTGCTTAAGTGTAGGATGTCCTGAACCGCGGCAGAACTCAATGCCGTCTCTCGCTGTCAGAGCAGCATGATGACTATGCAAGTGTTGGACCATGCAGGCACCAATCTGGTCAGCCCCATGCTTCTGGGCCTCGTTCAGTCACTGGGCCGAAAACTCACAGGAACTCGTAATAATCACTTTGCGGTCATGGTCCTGAGGCACCCTCTGTGCTGCGCCAGCAGATCTCTTAATTCAATGAGGCGTGATTGAGCAGATGACTGAATTTCGCTGTGACGCGCCCTGACATTTTTTGATTTTTGTTTTCCCGAGATTTGCAAGGGTGTTCGCAGCGGGGAAAAAAAATCCAAACAGCACACTGCTCTGCACATACTTTTCTCCCTTAATGCTTGAATCTAAAAACTAAAATAAAGTTTGATTTGACAATTTGTTATGTTTTCCACAAACACATCAAAAACATATGATCCAAAAATGGATTATATTATTACAACCTGTAGCTTACGATGAAGCATTGAGACAATTGTTTTGCATGAAAGCATAATGGGTTAGACAGGACCAGGAACATATATGTAGTTATATAGTTCTTATATGCATTTTTTTAGTAAATATTACTTTGTGTAGCAGTGGTGGGAAGGTGTTACCACATGCAGATGCATGTTAATGCATTTTCATGTGCACAGCCTGACAAACCATGCAGGACATTTGCACAGACAGACCAGTACACCATGGCCCCAGGAGATCACTGAGACTTGGTCCTCTCCATTCTGCCAAGATACCATAGTCACTGCATCCCCCTTGCCAGAGATAAATAGCTTGGCCACGACATCAGTGCAGACAAAGAAATGTGTTTTCAGGTTTCCGTTTTGTATTACGGCTCTGGACACGGCTTTAAAAAGACCTGAAAGCCCTCAAAGAAACCCATTAGGTCTCCTGTCACCAAGGGGACATCACGTATATTCTGCTGTTGTTGTTTTTTAGCGTCCGATCTTTCTCGGTGGTCCCGTGCGGGAACACAGCATAGCCTTGCACGATGGCTGGCTTTGAGCTGAGTAACAGCACCTGAGGGTGTGTGTCCCTCTCAAATTTTGCGATGCCTCCCCCCCCCCCTTGCTACCCGCATGGGTGTTCATGCCGAAGCGCTGCTGCTTTCTTTCATTGCGTCGCTCAAGGAAACGTGGTCTCGTCCCTTCAGGGCCCCCTGACTGCAGGCCCCTGCCTGCCGCCTGTATGCCACAGCTACCCGATAGCTTGGCTCTCAGCTCTATCATTCATTCTTTCTTTACCTCCCAAAGCTATTCGCTTTACTTTTATTTGTTTATTTACTTCTGGACTCGCCTTCCTTCCTGCAAACATGTAGTTTATTTTTAGTTGGCTGAACTTTGCAGTGCGTCAGGGTTGCTAGGGAACAGCAGGGTGAGTGACGTATGCTGAACGCGGATCCGGAGATTCTGATCCTCTGTCCAGAACAAAACGTCTCATCTTTTGCTGTAATAAGATAAAAGCCAGTGTGTGGTAACACCTCTGTTTATCATATTATTAACAATTACATTGATGATTGATATGAGACAGGTCTCAGAAGCTGGTGGCTGCACTCTTAAGCAAGACAGTTAAAGTGAAAAATACCCTGCTGCATAAGGGTAAAAGAAGGTATATATACATGTTAGAGATGTAATAGAACCTATAGACTTCGATTCAGTCTGTTCCTCTTTCTCACTCCTGCACCATATGCTGTTTCAGTGGTTTGACTCCCTTCCCAGTAACCTTCACACTATCTCAAACCAGGCCACAGCAAACAAAATACAAGACTTCTGGTATTTTTAATTTTCTGATTACAGTCACAGGTTTTTATAAAATTGACTGGAAATATGTCCCCACAAGGTAAAAAGTTAAAGACTTTTTTTTATCACATTGTGGAAAAATCTGGTCCCCACCACGTAATAATTTCAGAAACACACACACCCACACCACACACACATACACGTCTTGACACACTCATCAGCCACGTTTTACAATCCAGTTTTTAATCACCTGATGGGCCTCAGTTTCTCCTATGGAACAACAATTTCAGAGGCTCAGTTTAATGTGAGATTTACACTTTAAAAATGACACCTGTTTTCCCGTTAAACGTAAAATTATGAACCAGGTCCATTGTGCCTTACCACAAACTGCTAACTGCAAAATGAACAGATGTTTCCTTTGAATGCGACAGGTACTGGAGGCAGGTCCGTTGGACCTTTATACAGAACGTGCTGTTTGACAGCTCGGCATTAGCGATACACAAACCGGTATCATGCGTGCAAGTGGAAGATCAGTCTGTAAATGGCAGCTCATTTTTCAGCACTGTTGACACGATTGCATGTGACCACCATGTGCGAATCCTCATGGTTTTGTCGGATGACAGTGCCGGACTCGCACCTGCTCCGCCCCCCCCGCCGCTGACCCCCCTCTCATTGGCCCCTTTGTGTCTGCGTCCCGCTTTCTTTCATCACTACACGTTTAACGAGCCCTTTCTGCTTCTGCCCCTTTGTGCTCTTGTCTCGCACTGTACACAGTAGCTGCCTGTTTCTCTCTGGTCAAACTTTGCACATTTCCACTTCAGGAAATGTCCAAGAGGGAGGACATTCTGGGCCGGCTGAGCTGTATTCAGCTGCCTGTAGACTCGGGGGTATGTAGCTCTCCGCATGACGTCACACAGTGAGACTAACCGGGCCGGCCTGACGTTGGTGGATAGTGTCACCTGTGCTTATGTCGTTTATGTGAAAGCAGACTTGATTTGAAGTCCCTTTTTAGGTTCTCAGGTTCGGCGCGTTAGCTGCGAATCCTATAGCAATGCTGTCTTGGGACTCACCTGCTTCATCCGGCTAAAAGGATTGTGCTGTAGATTTCTGAGAGGATTCCGTGAAATCAGAGAAATCCGGGAAGAACATGGCTGAGGCAGATATCAGGTGGGCTGGCGAAGTGAGAGCAGAGGAAACATTGCTGCCATTTATATACATCATTCGACAAACACATGTGCCAAAAAAAAGAGAGGAGATTCCAACTGTCAAAATAAAAGTCTTTTTCCTATTGATCAATCATTGTAAATATTTACTGGTCTTATTGGGTGTTTCAGCCTTTGTTGATTGACAGAATAGTGTTTTCAGAGTCTGATAAGTTATTGCAAATGACACAAAGGAGCTGAACGGAATGGTATTAAATGTAGAGTCTATAGAGATATAAAGTCTATAGTGCTATAAACTGATTTCAGCGGTGCTTCCACCAGCATGCCTGAGCCATTTAAAGGGACTTTGAAAAAAAGTCTGTTTACCAACCATAACATCAAACATTCAGTGACAAGTCGGTGTCTTTGTGTATTCCATTCTGTAACTGCACTCATCCCAGCAGTAAGGTAGGTGATCCTGTGAGAGAACCCCACTGAAAAAACCCAGGACAGGGGGGTTGCATTATAATACTGCTTTGTCACCATCCTCTCCAAAACCCACACTGCATAATTCAATTTCTGGAGAAAGGAAAACATTTCTGTCCATTCTTCATTCAGAACAAGTCACTTCTTTAACTATTTTATTTTAACTATTGACCATCCAAGTGTCATTTTATTTCATTTGGCTTTTAACATTACACCCTAGTTTGCAAATAATACACTAAATACTTATATACCTAGAACTGACTCCTGTGTTCCTCACTACTACATTATTTTTGTGTATATGTGTAAAAATAAAGTCATTTGGACTTCTAGGCAGGTAACTGTAGATAGTGGTGTTTCATTCCTTTATGCATATCAAAGTATTTTCCTTGATATACTCAGAATATATTAATATTCTGTTTATAAATTCATCTCACATGAAGATGTGTTTACCTTTAAGTGCTTCTAGTGTTTAATATCCCATTGTATTATGCAAGCTTAAACAGTAGAAGTAATCATATAAATTTAAAGGGCACTAAAATCTTTAATGACTATAGAGTCCTTAGCCTGGCCATTCTCTTACAATTGAACCCCCTTTTTTGCTCAGAAAGGTAAAGTGGGAGTAAGGACACAGGTAACTAAGGCTTGTCCAGACAGCCATCTGTCCACTACAGACCAGGGGAATGAGAAGGGCCCATGGCACAGGGATGGGCATACTGTGAGTAAATAAAGCAGGAGAAAGCCCTCTCCTCTGTCTGTCCCACTGGCTAGCCTAACAAGGGTGAGAAGGAACCGCTGGGATACCCATAATGCTTTGTGGTGTTATTCTGCTCAGTTCAACCTATCACAGCTCTTTTTTTTTACCCTGGCATTGCTCCTCTCCCCGGCACCTTAGTAGAGCTCAGAGTGTAGAGTGAGAGGGTTCCCATGGGACTTAATTGTTTTGTTTGCTTAATTTGCTTTGCTGTTGTTTTTTTATGTGTTGTGTTTCCTCGTGGTGGTGAGCTATTTTTGCAGTTTCTTTTGCTTTGTTTTGGTTGCTTTGTTTTATACCTGTTGTGCTTTAATTATTATTCTTTAATATGATATACTAAAATGGTGCAATGCTCTCATTGGTTTGTACTTCACAGATCTCTCATATGTTTCCGTATAAACTTCCTACAATTTAAGAACTTCCCGTGTCTTTACTTCCAGAGAGGAACTATTTTTCACCAAAGGGATAAATGGCCTTACAATCCAAAGAGAGGCGTTGCACCGCAGGTCAAAATCTTTGTCAGAATTATCATCACTGTCTCTTCATATTGCATTTATATCTTGTAAAAATTACATTGAAGAGTGATGCATGGAAAGCACAGCAAACTAATGCAGAAGCTAATTTGAAATAAATTGTAAGTGTAGAGCTGTCAGCTCAATTGGCTGTGTTACTAATCGGGCCTTTCTTGATGGAATATGGCTCTTCATTTAAAAAGGCAACTTTCATATTAGCAAAGACACACAAAATCAAAAAAAAAAAAAACTATTAGAAGAGAAATGAAGAAACTGTTCTTGGGCATTGAAGTCCACAGACCTCATGCCATGGCCCTGATTTAAATGTAATTTGCTCAGTAAATATGCACAACTGATGGAAATGAACTTGAACAGTTCTGAGGTTCTGACAAACAGGGTAGATGACTTGTATTAAATCACACTGAAACGGTACCATGGTTCTGCTGCGTGGTTAATCCCGATTGCCTCGGGGCACAGCAACTGGGGAAAAAACAGCCAGGGGATGTATATAAGGGCCCTAATTTTTATGGCATGAATATGGGATATCTTCTATGAAGATTATATAAACATTAATATACATCCTTCATAAATGCGCTTTTTCCCCCGAATCTAGTTTTGCTACACAGTAACAGTTAACAACACAAATCCTACAAATTTGTCATGAAGTATAAAATAATGTAACAAGGTTGATAAGCTTCCTGGGGCATTTTAGCAAAGGGGTGGCATTTACTGGACGTTTCAGTGTGGTATGATACACAGCCTGGGCCTCCTTCTGCATGTGACCTCTGTGCCTGTTTGGACTGTGAGTGTTGGGTGTTCCCTCATGTGAACTGTCTATCCCCTGAGCTCCTCGCTGAGGGTTGGATGGTACAAAGGGGACAGGGACCTCACCAACCCATATTCCACGCATCACCATCCACGACCACACGTTCCCACCCTCCCACCCTGGGGGCCCCCTTCACCTGCTCTCTCTTACCACCCAACGAAGGGCGATGCCTCCAAGTCGGACTCGGAAGTCGATATCTACGCTCGGAGCATGGAGGACGTCTGGGGTCTCAAGAAAGATGGGTCGGCCTCAGCAGGTGGGTCATGCACACTCGAACTCAAAAGCAGTGTCAGGGTAAAGATGGGGGGGTATGGGGGGCAACGGAACTAGGGCCCATCACGGCAGGGGGCCCACTGCAAAATTTACCTAGAACCGGCCCCTCCCCGGGATGGCAAATTTTACCAAGGGAGCTCCTGCCCCTTATGCCCCCCCATGCTTAGATACCCCCCAAGAGTGCCACCCATCCCTTAACGCTCAGTGTTTGGTATCAAACAATTGTAATTTTTCCTCTTTTGTTTCACAGGGGAATAAATATATAATAAACCTTTCAATATTTTCAACAGTTCTTTCACCTTTTTTCACTGCTCATTGTTTGAAGTCTTTTCTGAATTAACAATAACTCTGGCTCTACTGAGTCACAATCACATTCATATTGTATTCTTCCTCTTACTCCTTCTTCTTCCTCATCTCTTACTGTATCTACTTTGTGTTCTATTTCTAATTGAGAAAAAGAAACTTCTTTAGTGACAATTCAGTCATTAATCTGTGTCTCACCTTGATGAAAGCGACAGAGGTGGGTTTTCAGTTAACGTAAAGCCTAAACCAATTGGTCTTTAGATGTAAACACACGAGTAAGAATCACTTATTTTCCGGCATCGATGGATCCATTCAAATGCAACTATTGACATAAGACATTTTGTTCATCTAGCGTGTTTGCTTCAAAATACACCTAATGATGCAGCTGATTGTATGCATTCATACTGAAGTTAATGTTTGCTTATATAACTGGAAATCAAGTTGACAAGTTGAATCTACATACTTAAGATGCCAAGATAGCGGAGGAATTCTTGTAATCTTTTCATATACTGTTAATCTTTATTTCTACCTGCAATTACCATTAGATCTTTTGTAAAATGAAATGTATTTGGGGAAATATTGAATATGCCATTCAAGTGTGAGGTCCTGAAAGCCCAGTCCCCCCCCCATCCCCCCCAGCAGTGGTGCCCATTAATGGCCATGTGGACATGAAGAACAGCCTGACCCCACCCCTCATCACTCACACCGCCGCCACGCCCATGCCGGTACCAAAGATCTCCGGAATTGGCGACCCTGCACTGAGCTATGAGTCACGCAGAGGTAGCAACGTCTCCGTAGAGCCTGGCTGCCATGATGCCAAGTCCCCGGTCAGTGCATCACCCCCCCAGTCTTCATCCTGGTCTTATTATCTTGTATCATGTTCAGTGTTCGTGACCATTTACTCTGTATGCAGCCATTGTGCATAATTATGATATGTAAACATTGTGTGTATCTATAGTGTATTAGAGCGTAGAGACTTCATCCTGGCCTTATTATCTTAATTAGTGTCCATGATCATCTACTCTGTATGCAGCCATTGTGCATAATTGTGATATGTAACCACAGTGTGTATCTACAGTGCACAGAGGCTATGCCACTATACGCACTCCTGCAATAACATGTATCTAATCCACTATGTGCCATTTAAAGCACCCTGAGTGTAGCTGCTGAGTTCCCTGATGGCCGTCCCCTATGTGATCTTCCAGTCCAGCGCACGCAGCTCCCCATACGCACCTTGGAGCTCGGCCAGTAGCTGGAACAGCCGGCGTTCTAGCTGGAACAGCCTAGGCCGGGCCCCGAGTCTCAAGCGGCAGAAGCGGCAGTCCGGGGAACGCCGCTCGCTGCTGTCAGGGGACGGCCAATCCAGCTCGGACGAGGAGGGGGGGGGCGCGGGCACCTCGGAGGGCGACGAGGCCTCGCTGTCCCGCGCTGACTCCTTACCCCGGCCACGCCACCGCCGCATGGAATCCGTCGAGACCAAGAGCTCCTTCGACCTGCCCCCCGACACCTTGCAGGTGCCCTCCTACCTTTACCGCACAGCCAGCGTGCACAGCGCCCGGCCTCCTAACCTGGGCATAGACTGCAATGGCAAGAGCTCCCCCAGCACCACCCTGCCCCCCCAGCTGTCCCTGGATGACCCGCACAGTGAGGATGACAATGGGGATGAAGAGGTTAACATGGTGAGGAAAGCAGTGGGTGCATGGCGGCAAACGGAACAGTGCTGTCTGGCTCAGTGGGTTAGGCCTCTATGCCCAGGTCATGGAAGGTTGCAGGTTTGAATCCCATCTTTGGCTGAATAGTTACTTCTGTATTGGTTACTTGAGCAAGGCCCTAAACTCTCCCTCCCCCAAAAAAAAAAAAATGCTCCAAGAGTGTCAAATAAATGGCTGACCCTGCGTTCCGACCCCAAACTTCACCCTCACCTGTGGTGGGGGTAATATGCAAAAACTCAAGAATTCCAATGTATCCATTTGTGCAAACGGCAAATAAGACATTCATGCCATTTAGAGAAATTACAGAAACAATGCTTCCCCCTCTGAATAGAGTGAGGGGTGATTTTTAAAGTAAAATTAAGTGATGAACGGCTGATCCTGGTCAGGAGCCGCGTCAGAAACCACAGTACCTGGCACCATAGCCTGACATCTGCAAGTTTGGGAGAGTTTGCTTCTTCTTCATATGTGTGTAGGTTTTCTCTTGATACCCAGACTTCTTCCTGCAGCTCAAAGACATGTCTTTAGGTATATTAGTATCTCCAGTTTGCCTTATAATGAACTGACATCCCACCCTGGCCACCCCCTGCCTGGTGTCCTTTGCTTCTGCAGATGGGTTGCAGGCTCTCCACATTGTTATAAAAATTGAAATTTTTCAAGAAGGGACTGTTAGTATGTCTAAAGAACTTATGGTAACACTTAAATTAAAGCAGTCATGTATAATGCATTATAAAGCATTCATAAAGTATTATAAACATGGCTATAATGTTTATAAAAAGCCATAACACATTATAACCATGTTCATTATGTGTTATAGACGCTATATGAAGCCATCATCTATAATGCACTATAGATACCTTCATAATGCAGTACAAAGCATCCTTAATTCTTTGACCATTACAGTGCATTAGGAACATGGGTATAATGCGTTGCGTTTTTTATGAATAGTTATAGCCGTGTTTACTTTATGAATGCATTATAATGTATTACGCGGGTATCTAGAATGCAATATGATGAGTGCTTTAAGTATAGTGTTACCGGACTGATCATGCTGGAACCTTGCTGCAAACTCCACCTTTCCAGAGTCGCAAGGATCGGCTGTTCGGGTGGTTTGAGAGGCGCCAGCCAGAGTGGTGTCGGCAGAGAGGAACTTGGTCCCTCTACCTTTTCCCCCCTCAGTCCAGGTGAGCTTCTCGTTTACTCTGGGCTTACCTCAGATGCACCTGCAATCTGCCCGTTTACTCACTGTAATGCTTGTTCCGCACAAGAGCCCCAGCTGACACTTGTGGGGCATAGCAGGCTCCCGACAAACAGAGTTTTCACATCCCCGCCTGTCATTGAAGCACATGTCAGCTTCCATTAGCCTTCATCAAGAGAACATTCTGGAAGAAGGCGAGAAAACATGCAAGGCTTGTTGCACTCTGCTAACACTTGAGAACTGAGCATTTTAATAATTAAGTAAGCACTCTCGGGTCATAATAAGTTCTTGTATGTTTGTTTTTCTTCATCTTCAGGTTAAATTTAACACTTTCCAATGAAGGTAGATCACAAAATGACTATAACAATTTGTTTTGTGTTCCCTGCAACCGAAATGTGCTGGATTTTCTTAAGATCCAAAGCTTTTCGGTGTGATAATTCAGCTCTCTGTGGTACTGAGTGTCTTTGATCCATTTCATGAGCTAAGTCTTTGCTCTCCGTTGCTCTTAAGACCCTCCTCCGCCAGGAGGTTATCCTGGCTATGCGCATCACGGAACAATGGTTCCATGACACTGAAGGGTTCTATGGATAGGCTGATGCTGGGGAGGGAGAAACTGCGTGGCAGGGGGGGGGGGGGCTTCTTGCTTGTGGACTCTCCCTGTCTACCTCCTTTGTGGAGGAACCCACAGCTTCACGGAAACCCTGCTGAGGGGGTTGGCATGACAACAGGCTCCAGCTTCTGCACCCCAACCCACAACCCCACTTGCATAACTGGAGTATGAATTCTCCGGCACCGAGTTGAAAGATGGAGAGAGGAATCGTGCTGTAGTCGACGCTGTCTTCATTGCTTTGCCCTGACTATGGGGGGCCTAATCGCATCAATTATCCCTCAGCTTTTTGCATGCTGCATATGTGTCAGAATGGTTCCACAGGGAGCTGAATTGTAATGAAATGCACTTATTTTTGAATAAAACACAAAATCGTTTCAGTAATAACTTTAGTTCCTTGTTCAGTGATCATAACATTGCTTCACAATGTGGAATCTCACCAGCTGGGGTCTCGGTGTTCAGTACAATATAAGCACTCTGTTTGTAATTGTGTCTACTTGCTGTTATTGTAATGCCTGTTTGTCTGTTTGATTGCTTGTGTCCAGACCTCTCCCCAGGGAAGCTGCCTCATTCCAAATAATACTGTACATTACTGCATTCCACTCACAGAACGTGTGATTCAGCTAATCCTATGTTAGGTGAATTGGGTGCGACAGCAGTGTTAGGAGGTCCCAGGGAGAGGGTTTAAGAACCCTTTCAAAATGCCAAATGATGAAAGAAGCGGAATTCCAACAGGTTCCGTGTGACGTGCAACAAGATCATCACTCACAAGATGTTCGACCATATTGTCCTGGTGATCATCTTCCTCAACTGCATCACGATTGCCATGGAGCGTCCCAGGATTGACCCCCACAGCGCTGTGAGTTCTCAGCTACAACAAATGTACATTAGCACTTATCCACAATGCATATTCACAGCATATAGACTCACTGAGCACTTTATTAGGAACACCTGTACATCTGCTTATAAATGCAATTATCTGCTAATCATGTGGCAGCTGCACATCTGCAGATACATCAGAAGCTTCAGTTAATGTTCATATCAAACACCAGAATGGGGTAAACAAAAACGTGATCTCAGTGATTTTGACCATGGCGTAGTTGTTGGTGCCAGACGGGCTGATTTGATTATCTCTGTAACTGCTGATATACTGGGATCTTCACACTCAGAATGCCTGTTTAATCAGAATGATGCAAAACACACAAAAAACATCCAGTTTTTGATGAGAGAGTTCAGAGGGCAATGGCCAGACTGGTTTGTGCTGACAGAAAGGCTGTGGTAACTTAGATAACCCTGGACAACTGTGGTGGGCAGAAAAGCACCTCAAAATGTACAACACGTTGAACATGGAGGTGGATCGGCTACAGCAGCAGAAGACCATGTTGGCTTCCGCATTTCTTAGCCAAAAACCAAAAGCTGCGGCCGCAGTAGGCACAGATTCACCGAAATAGGCGAGCTGCAGACTGGAAAAAAATACCCTGGTCTGATGAATCTCGATTTCTGCTGAGGCACACAGATGGTGGGGTCAGAATTTGTTGTCAACAGCATGAATCCACCGACCCGACCTGCCTTGTGTCAAGATTCCAGGCAGGTGGGGCTGCTGGCGGTGTGATGGTGTAGGGAATGTTTTCTTGGTATATTTTGGATCCGTTAATACCAATCGATCATCGCTTGGATGACACAGCCTATTTGAGTATTGTTGCTGACCATGTGCATCCCTGCATGGCCAGCATGGACAAGAATCTCTAAAGAATGTTGCCAACATCTTGTGGAATCCAGAACATGAAGAGTTAGAACTGTTCTGATAGCAAAGGGAGGCCCTACCCAGTACTAGTCTGGTGTTCCCGCTAAAGTGCTCAGTGAGCGTATATCTACAGTTTCCCTGTGAAAATAAATTATCTAGGTCACAGATCTTGATTTGTTAGCAAACAAATGCCGTATAAAATATTAATACTCAAATGGATGTTTTTGTCAAAATCATTAATAATAATACCAATAATAATGATTGGTGTTTTTAGTCATAACAACAGTAAAATTATAGGTAGTTGTGTAGCCTATGTATAAATAAGCAGAGACAGTTGTGTTTTGTAATTTTTTTGTTTATAAAACAAGAAAGAAAATGGCATGCTATGCCTTAATACATGGCAAAATGGGAAATACTTGTTAATTTAAATCCTTGTTGATTTAAACCAGAGGTCACTAACAGGCGTACCGGGTCTGCTTCCGGACCCAGAAGCTGTCTCATACGGACCCTGACCGATAGTCAAAACAGAAAGTTTTGAAGATTTAAAACCCGACGGGACGCTTCTATTTTAACTGGCGCAGCGTTTGCAGTCTTTTCGGTAGTGGTTTAGCACTAGAACTGCCGTTTCCCACGCCAATGAACGTCAAACTCCTTTGACCGCCAAACAAGACGTAGTTCGGTGGTTTCAGGGTTGCCAAATCTCAAGCATCTGGCATGACACTCACTCTTTCAGACTCACGCAGGAAAATCTATATTATTTAATTATAAACCCAAATTTTGCTACGTCAAAAGTGTATTTACAGTTAAATAGAAAAGCAGACTATTTACAAGGTAAGAACTGTTACATATGTGTGCAGACATCTCGTATTGAAAATCTCACTCCAGCCAGCTGGCTGAAGCTGGCAACCCCGCGTTTTATTTGAAATGAAAAGTAAAATGCGCTGTTTTCACCTGAAACGGCTTGTCATTCCGTTTGCGTTGTTACTCAGACAAATATGAGAAAAAACATAACGTCACGTTTTATATCTTTTCGAAATATGACCGCCCATGCCCTAGTGATAAGTTCGTATGTATTTATCTTAGAACGAGACTTTAATTTTATTACTGGTGTGGGATTATCGAAACCAATATTTAAATCCATGAACACTAATATACAGTATATGACATAAACACGACTGTATTAGATTTTTACGGCTTTTTAGGGTGACAGTAACTCTGCTACTTGAGGATTACTGACTGTCCCATTGTTTTCTTGATGGGTGAACGGTGATGGTCCATTAACAAAAACGAAAGGTGTGATACGCCGAAAAACGTGCTGCTGGCTGTTAAAGGAGACCCCGGCGGTTCTAATGTTAATGGGTGAGGAAACGTACTGTACAGACCAAATCCATGCAAGTTCAGCCATCCCATGTGATAACACTCAACATTATACATATCGGTAGTCATACATATACAGTATGTTCAGTTCTATGTCACGTGACAATAAATATTGTCAAAAAGTATTTGAATTGTACTGAATTAATTTGATTTGACAGTCAGGTATTGATTAAATGCAATGTTGATACAACTAATAGGCTACTTAATTATATAACACACTAAATAGTTGGACATTATGATCTTCCGGACCTTTGCTTCAAGAAATTTTCTCTAACTGGACCTCTTTAAATTTTAGTTGAATACCCCTGATTTAAACTCTCAGCATACATGTATAGTGAAGGGGTATGGTAAAAATATGTCTGCAGCATGACAACAATTATTTATTTGTTTGTTTATTTGTTTAGCAGTACACACAGTTGCAAGAGAAATCGTCTAATCATGCTTAAACACTATGATGCTCATAAGTTTAACTAACTATGGCTTCAGCTGACAGATGAATCTGGCCAATAGTAATGTTTCTATAGACTTGTTTTGTGAGAACTTGAATCCATTTTTTCTTTGGCGCACCATGTTTGAAGCACATTGGAGGGTCATGAGGAAGCAGAGGTGGAGATGGGGTGAAGTGTGGTATTGCTTGGAGTACTTAAAAAATACTCCATAGGCAAATAGTAGGCATCTACTTACCAGTAAACATGTTTCACGTCCTTAATCTAAGATAAACCAGCTTGGTGTCTATTAGCTGCTGCTTCCTCTGTGCTTACTCTTGACTCACAGATTTATCTCTTGCTCCTCTTCATTACAGAACAGTAATGACAGGGTTAATTTAACATCAGGGTTGTTAATTTGAGTCTGGCAAAAAACCCAGTAAAACGCTGCTACTTCTTCCCCTTTTATCGTGTAGAAACAGTGTAATTGTAATTGGTTCTGTTGTCTCCAAAGCCAAACTTTTGAATAATTAAAGTGGAAACAGATACAGTATCTGTAAACAAGTCATGCAGCCCACAGGTCCCTTTGAATGTGGCTGAAGGAAAACTTGAAGCCTGAATTTCTTGCTGCCTCTGGGCTTGCTCCAGAAACTGGCCTCTCTTTCTCCCAGCAGCTCTGGAGCTCCGTGACTTCCCGATCTTCAGGCGTGCGGTCGACTGTATCATGAAGGGATAATACACTCTTAGAGAAACAGCAAACACAAACCAACAAACACATAAAAATGCACATATATTTCCCTTTTGCAATCAGTTTCATTTCCAGCCTACATAGTGCTGTGATGCAGCATAATGAAATGTCCAGGACATGCCCAAGCTGTTGCAGATGCAAACACAAATGTAATTCTTATGTAATTCTGTGACCCCTGCCCTGCCCTAATTGAATAAATGCAAGCCGTTTACCACCCCCCGCCAGCACCACTACGCTCTCCATGTCAGCCACTCCACATGCATGTCTCAATGAGGGAGATGCACCCCTCGCCTGATGCTCATTTTTTCCCTCTCTAATTGACTACATACATGTGTTTTCAAAACTTTCTTTAGAGTTCTGTCATGCATTTTGGGTATGTCCTTGCAAGCTATTAGGCTGTCACTGCAGGCCAACCTGTTTCACCGAATGACTCCGGGGCCTGGACACGCATCCATGCGACGTGCCTGTGTTCTAAGCCGTGAAGGGCAGTCAAATCTTTGCTGCGGAACTGGCCCAAATTCCAGAATTTAAAAAAAAAATTCTATGTGGTGTCCTTGGAAAGAAATACTATACTGCTCCTGTGCCTGGGTTTCATGATTTCTAGATGTCTCCTGTTTCCTGCATCTTATTCTTCAGTTCATACAAGAATGCAAGTTTTAAGATTAATACATATTCTACTCCAGTGACCAAGACCAGCATAAGTGATTAGAAGATGGATGGATGGATTTCTTAATTTAGAATAAAAGAAATCACTCTGTTCCCTGGGGGTGACAAGAAATAAAAGATTTTTGTCTTAACAAAGATGTTTTTACAGGAAGTTTGTTTAGGAAAATAATTCTATATTGATATGGATACAGTCAAATGACTTTCACACATGACTAGGCTGATGTGTTTTTAGAAGGCTGTTGTAGCTTCTCATTCGTAGTGAAGTGGCAGTAGATACTACAGTAGAAATGACTTTTCATTATGCTAGATTTCCCATATTTCCTCAGTAGCTGTTTGATTATTTGCATTAACAGCCAGCCATCTACCCAGACAGGTGGCTTTAACGTTGTACGTCAGGCATCTAGCGGGAGCGTCCAGCTCTCTCGTCTGGTGATGAGCCCTTCCCAGGAAAGAAAATGATAAATAAATGTGTGTCACGCAGTCTGTACTCTTTACCATGGCAGTCAGGGTGGGGGGGAGGGGGGTAAATGGCCTGGGAACCCAGGAAAACTCTACATGGGAATGGGGGAGTGACTCCATGCCTGTTGCATTGCTGTTGTATGGTGTTCCATGACCCGTGATAACAGAAGTGGGTGAAAATCCAAACCGTTCAACCAACTAAATCATGTTTACAGAGGTTCCATGGGGAATTGGGTGCAGCCATAGGCTGGCTCTTACGTTAATGTGGGGGGTGGAGGGGGTGTGTGGGAAAAATGACATTTGGGTCTTGAAACTTGAAAAAAGGACAAATAAACGAGAAGCACAACATTTCCCATAGTCTTGCTATTCCATTGCTCCTTGCATGAGTTTCATATCCCTTTCTAGGCAAATTTCAGCTCATGCTATGTTCACACTACACAACATTTAAAGTCGTCAGATCACTGTACTGTTCACACTACACGACTTGTTTTCTTGTAATCGGCAGCATTGAAGTTGTTGTGATTTACACACTACATGACTGATCACCAGGAAGGAATCACTATGTAGTCTGTCTCGTCTCCAAACTATGTTTTGTCACGAAATCACACATATGAATTACACCAGGAAATCACAATTCTTGTGTCAATGTGCTACAAATTTTTAAAACGCTTTAATCAAATGACAACACATGCTCTACATTTACAATCGCGAGGGAAATTAACTCTCATATACACTTTCAGGAAATGGTATGTGTGCGGATTCCTGAAAACTAAGAACAGTTTCTAAACAAATTACACTTTTTACACCTTTTTAAATTGCCTCACCTCATGTTCTGCGCTCTCATTGGCTGTAACTTGTTGCCACACCCATTGCCAGTCATGACACATTTCACACTACAAGATCTGGGGTCACCGAAAGGTTTAGATATTAAGCTTGCTAGATATCTGACGAGTGTCTGCAAGCATCAGCGACTCCAAACTTCGATTTGCCTCCAATCTGGGGTTTTATCAGCAGTCTCCAAAAACTGGAAAATCGGGGCTAAAATCATGTAGTGTGATACTGCCATTAGCAATCTGGCCATGGTTACTCAGGAAAGAAGCAACTAGTAAGTAGTTCTGCGATGATTAAGCGTGATCATTGCAGGTTATCAGATTGTTGTTCATAATTATAAGCTATACTCGTCCACTTTTTGTCTTTAGATACCTCGTTTGGTTGTTTGACATATGCCTTTATCCTAAGAAAATTAGTGATACACCAACAGGTATTGTAAAGTGTTGTATAACTGCATAACAGCAGATATACATTATAAATGCATTCCTTTGTGTCTGAACGGTATTGGATCTTATCTGGAAGCTGTTTCTAAGGAAACATTTGGATCTTTGCTGTCTTTGATTAAAATTCATGGCTAGCATTATAAGATGTGGACACTGACCTAACCAGTAAGAAAGCACTGTTTTAATAGAATTCCCAGTGATAGGAAAGGTCCTCCCATGTTGGGTTAGGGGACCAAAGGGCGACCTGTGCGGAATGGCGAGGAGGTTTATGAGGACTAGGCAATGCAGCAAATCAGATCATTCTTTATAAGTAGAGCTTGGCCTTATGAGTCTGTAAGGAAGGGTAAGGAATTAAACTGTATCAGCATCAGTGTTTTTCAGCCTCTGACAGTGGGTGATTTTTTTTTCCCTCTGATATTAGTGAATGTTGCACATTTCCTGTTTAAGAGCTTCATGAAAGCAGGTCTTCACCCGTCTATCACTCCGTGACACATAGTTATAATGTGGCTCCCCTTCTCACCTTTCGGCCAATGAAAATTACACTGCATTAGCTGCTGTCCGGTGCAGGCTAATGGTCTAATGCAGAATCTGCTATTGACATGCTGTAGTTCATAGGTTGTGGTCATTCATGGTGTGGTGATTAGCATCGGGCAGCTGTCTGCTCTCTCTGCCAGGCATATGTGTAGCTTCTGCATATGGTTTTTAAAGCTGCAGCCACTGTGTTGTGTCTTTCTCACACTACAAACTAACCTGAATTCACTTGTTTCTTTACACTTACTCACCAATCACTTCCTCTCCTCATCTGGGTCGCTTCACAGGAACGCATCTTCCTGACGCTGTCCAACTACATCTTCACTGCCATCTTCGTGGCCGAGATGACGGTAAAGGTAGGTGACGGCCTTGGCATTTCACTCTGCGGGGTCGCCGTCGGTGCTCTTTAAAAAACACTTAAATGTGTTGTTGAGCTTGATCTTGATTGCGTGGCAAATTTGGGCCAGTTGAACAGTGTTTGCTCCGCTATTCATCGCGACCTTTGGCCTTGCATGTCTCGGATTTGGAAATCAGCGCAGACATATTTACAGAGGCGATGGCAAGGACCTTTACCTACAGTTCAATCATACCGAACGACTTCCAGGAAACACCTCCCTCAAACTTGTGTTACCTGTAGTCTGTCACCATTTAGGGGAGACCAGGGACAATCGTTCAGTCGAATCTGTGTGCTTTTGGTTTGACATGTTTCATAAGCGTCAGAGCTGTTGCTAGGAGCCTTAAGCTACCTGAAATAGAGGGATGTGTGTGTTAATGGTCCATTCAACAAATGACCCCATTCTACAATTATCCCCGATCTCCCCTACTTACAAGCCCAGTGCACTGTGACCTCATAGTAACATTTGTGCCACGGGGGAAATGTTGGGATGTGGCTTTTAATTGTGACTGGGAACAATCTCCCATTTTGGACAGTGAGACAAAGTATACAGAAAACGCGGCAAAAGCAGATTGCTATGGTAGGCTTCCAGCCTAAGAGCTTTGTTAAACCCCATTGTAAAAGGGAGCTCAGAGGATCAAAAACAGCAGGATTTGAAAGCACATCCTGAAGTTATTCAGCTTTTGTATGTATCACCTGTTAATACCCCAAAGTGGATGATTATGGGGCAGAATTTCAAATGACTTTAATCTGAATGGCGATATATGCATTAGCATCTTTGAAGAAGGCAGCAAAGTTCACCAGTGTCAGTCAGTGAGGTCTGAGGATCTGTTCTGGGTTCTGCTATATGCCAACTCACACCTATCCGGGGGCCTCGAGTGAGAAACATGCCCAGGAATAATGTGCCTGAAGGAAGGTTAATTAATGGCGACCGACAAGCCTTCTCTGGTGGGATCAGATGAAAAGTATATGATAAACCATGTTAGGCTTCTGAAGAGTCAAAGTTCATCCCCAGTTGAATCGTTTTTGCTATTTTGAGATTTGGCCTATAGTGTTACATAGCAATTGTAATATGATTAGACCGCTCTGAAACCTCTATCACACATGAATAGTTTCTGTTTATGCATAGAAGCATACAGTGAAAATGGAACGTGTTTGTCCGGCAGGTGGCAGCACTTGGTTGGTGCTTCGGGGAGCAGGCCTACCTGAAGAGCAGCTGGAACATCCTGGACGGCATGCTAGTGATGATCTCAGTCATCGACATCCTCGTCAACATGATCTCCAACAGTGGAACCAAGATCCTGGGCATGTTGCGAGTTCTAAGGCTGCTAAGGACCCTGCGACCGCTCAGGTATGAGTCTTAGAAGACCACACCATGCCTGGAAAACCTCGCTTCTCTTTCTCTGTCCTACAGTATCTTCTGTCACACCAAGTATCCAAAAGCTCTAGTTTTGATTTCATTCAGAGGATGAACTTCTACTATCTACACCCATCCATCCATCCATCCATCTATCCAATCATCCATTTATTGTAACTGCTTGTCCTATTCAGGGTCACGAGGGGTCTGGAGCCTATTCCTGAGGCTACGGGTGCAAGGCAGGGAACAACCCAGGATGGGGCGCCAACCCCTCGCAACATATCTACAATATAGGGTCAAAAGTATAAGGACAGCCATATTAATTAGGGGAACTGGCTAATTATGCCACACCCACTGCTGACATAATTTAGCACATGGGAACCTCCATTTGCTGCAGTGTGTAGCATTACAGAAGAGGCCAGTAACATTCAAACTTGGCACTATCATTTGATGCCAACTTTCAAACAAGTAAAATCACCAAAATTCTGTCCTGCTAGAGCTGCCCTGGTCAGCAGCAAAAGTGCCCGACACTGAAATCACTCTGCCTGCCATGGGGTTCGATGCAGCAACTTTCCGATAGGAGGCATTGTGTCCTAACCCAGATGAACACATACCACCCCACAGAATCACACACCACTGTAAGCCCTTAATAAGCCAAATCTAATGTTCTAGATACCCCCACACAGAATTTACACTATGCTGATGTGAAGTAATTTCTGATTATAAGTTATAATGCTGTTCTATCCAAAGCCATGTGAGGTATACATGCAAAATTTTGTTGCAAAGAGAGAAATGTAGGAAATTTCAAGCATTAAAGAAGATTAATTAGATGAATTCATTTGGTAAGAATAGTCATTAATTTTAAAGAAAGTTACATGGCACAGTGCAATGCTATAGACGATTGTCTCTAATTTTATTAATCTTTTTAGCCATTTCAAAAAGAAGAAAAAAGCAGAATAAAAGGAAAAATGTATGTGTTCTCTGTTTTAACGGTAGAAGTTTCATATTACATAGACACACATTTTGTCATACTGCATCCAAGCCTCTGATAAATCACAAGGTCAGAAAACTTTGCTGGGAGGGTGTCGGTGCAGCCTTGAAAAATTCAATTTTATTTTCTTTGTCTTTAGTCTTGTGGGTTTTATGTTATTATAATAAAGGAAGAGAGCCAAGTTGAAATCACAAGAAAGAAAAAGACAGAACAATAAAAGGCCGTACTTCCAACCCTGCACCCAAACCAGGCACCCCCCCCCACCTCGAGTTTACGATGCGCAGCATTAATTCAGACCACATGCCCAGGTGGGCTGACCTTCAAGACAGCCTGGAAACAGAGATCACAGAGAGCAGTGTAGAGTGTATGTGTATGTGTGTGACTAATTTGGAATATTAATGTTGCTATTAGACCAGAGTAAAGAGGAGGTGTAGTGTGTTTCCACCTCTGACACCATGATTTATGTGATTTGCTGGTCCCTCCACAAACACCTGTGTCCCCATTCATTTTCCCATTGAAGCTCCCTCTTCCCCCACATTGAGCCCCTTTCTCAGAGAATGAATTTTACTGGCGCAGTTGCATAATTCAAATTAAATTAAAAAAATTGGCCCATCTATCACATTGCTACTTTGCCCTGTCCATGACCCATCGGCATATCCAATCCCCATCCATCCATCCATCCATCCATCCATCTTCCCACCACTTATATTGGACAGAATCACAGTGGGGCCTACAGCCTCTTCTACTGTAGCTAACGCAGGGCACAAGGCAAGGATACGCTCTGGACAGGATGCCAGTCCATTGCAGGGCACACACACTACAGGAAATATAGAGGTACTTAACCTAACTGCATGTCTTTGGACTTACGGAGGAAACCAGAGTACTTGGAGAGAACCCGCTGACCCAGGAAGAATACTCAAAACCACACACACACACACACAGATGAGGCAATTTTGGAACCTCCACTGCTGAAGGCGTGAGTCAACACCGCTATCCACTGAGCTCTGTTCCAGGTGTAATCTCTCAAATGCTTAATAGTCAATAGTTGACACTTTGAATTAAATTTATCTCCTGATTGTGCTGCTTGTTGTCCTCCTGCCGCTTTTGCAATATGTGTTATTTTTCCTCGTGCACAACAGATGGTGCGCGTTGCCACTGGGCTGCACGACTATGTTCACGTTAGCCCCCGTTAATTCAGCCATTAATTACTGCTAAATCAGGAAGGTATTTAGTCGCTTTGAATCTTCCAGCTAACAGCCATAACTGCAGAAGGCCGTGAGATGAGATGCTCGCGTTTCTGTGCATATTACCTCGGGTAAATCACATGGTTTTTTAAAAATGAGATATGCAGATGAGCTAGCCGGGAGCGGCAGAGCAGTAGGCTATTATCATTTTAGAGCGGCGATTAAGAATTTGCTAAGTGCCCCGGGGGTGGGGGGGGGGTGAGCATCGTCCTCTGTGTGCGCACGCGCGCACGTGTGTGTGTGTGTGTTTGTGTGCGCGTGCGAGTTGTGATGTGCTTGTGTGCGCCTGTTCCCAGTGTGTCTGGAGGGTGTTTTTCATTCTGCTGGATTATTCACTTCAGCAGACCACAGGTCATCCTCCTTGGCTTCTGCAGCAGAGGAGGGTGGATGGCCCAGAGCAGTTCCTTGGGGATGCCCGTCTAGAAGAGTAATTTAATTACATCCAAGATGGAGATGTTCGCTGGGAATGAGCGGATTTCTTAATGCTCTGCTGTTTGCTTTTTCTGTTGATTGCAGGTGGAAGTAGCAACAAACATGCACTAGGAAATGTCTATTTGTTTTAATATTATTATTATTATTATTTATTAATAATAATACTTAATTTTTTCAGAAGGCCTAACAACGAGATGGAAAGAGGACAGTGTCTGTTGGTTTAGTGTATTTAATATTTTTGCCTTCACATACTTTGCATTAACAGCTGCACAATCGCACAGGTAGCTTTATAGATTCTGTGATACAATGTTAAAAATACTCATAGTCCTATAAACAACATCATGGTTACACCCAGTTGAACCACGCCTACAACAAGTATTATGTTAAAAAATAATACGCCAAATCCTTCCTCCCGCTTCCTGAATACTGAAATAGAAATGTTTATTGCTCAGTTATTTTGATAAATATTTATGTTTCCCTAACATTTGCACTGCAATATGATGGTAGAGGCAGCGTGTCCTGTTCCTCCCAAACTACTTGGCACTGCTGCCCTCTGTTGGTAGCTGTGGAAATTGACCTGGGAGGGACTGCTGGCTTTCATGAAAAGGTGGCTGATGCATTGCTTACTTTCACACTGAAGTTCACAGATGCGATATCAAGCTTTCAATTTCAGCATCGACCCACTGGGCAGCGCTGTTCCTGCTCTGTGAATCAGACTGATTCATGCTCAGTGAGGAGCACACGCCTGGCTGAAATCCAACCCCCTCCCCCGCCCTCCCCCGTGCTCTATTGAGCTTCCCTGTGATAAATGCATCACATCCTGAAGGGTGTATAAATTAATGCAAACAAATGTAAGCTGTGTGGGCGTTGCCTTCGTTTTGGGACGCTGCCTCGTCTCCTCCCCTTATTAAACTTATTCAGTTCCAATTTGTGCATCTCAGCTACAGTACCCACCCGGCAGCACCTCGCACTGCCTTGAAGCCGATACGATTGCATAGCGGAGTAAGGAGCGCAGGAAAAGACCGCGGCTCAGCCACGGCCCGGGGAAGCCGATACGAGTAATCTGGTGCCTCCTGCTCTCTCTATCTGATCTGGCTACAACGGGTGCCATCGCGATTTCTCGCCATCCTGGGCTGCAGGGATTACCCCGCAGTTTACGTAACGCCACTGGGGATCCAGGCTATTTTTTGCTGTGTGCTTCTGTGTCTGGGCCCACGTTTTGTCACGAGCGTCAAAAAAAAAAACAACGCTTTCAGTTAAGTTTCATCCCCAACCCTGGGGGTGTGGGGTTGGACGTGGTTCACAGCTCCGGGTTCGTGCCCTTCACCAGCTTGTTAATAATTGAATACTTGTTGTCACATTATAAGTTTAATTAATGCTGTCTGTTCTCTCTGCTGGAATGGTGGAATGCAACCGGGGGGACCTTTACCTGCCTTTCAGCGGAGCAGAGGGAAACAGCTTTTGTGAGATGGGGTTGTTGAATATTTAAAGAGCGACCGGTTTGATTCTGTCCTTGCTGGAAAAGTGCGGCAAGCTTATTCTGTGTTTATTGAGTGCAGAGGCCGTGATGGCACAGGAAAGGGCAGGCCGACAACCTGACAGATAGGGCAGGTACAGGGATCATCTCCACAGAAGAATGAGGAGATCCAACTTGTACCTGTCTCTCCTGACAAGGTTAGGGGGCCCCTGCCTGCTGCCATCTGGACTGAAGAACAGCTTTGCCATGGGGTGACCGATTCTGTGACTGACCAATACTTGCTGAAATGCTACACTGGTGCAATTTGTTTCCTGCGGCTGTTGTGTCTTACAGTGCACCACTTTGCCTTGTTGCGAGGGATCAAATGTCCCTCTTCCTGGTGACTAGCATCCCGCTCTCTAAATTTCTGGTGAACTGCGCAGTTCTCTATCCATGTGACCTGTAAATAGGTTTCACGTGCACTATGGGCCCCCGTGTATTTCAGGTTCTGATTCTGCAACCTGAAAGCAATGGATTTGTCTGTTGTCTTGTCTTCTCAGGGTAATCAGCAGAGCTCCGGGCCTCAAGTTAGTGGTAGAGACCTTGATGTCCTCCCTGAAGCCCATCGGGAATATTGTGGTCATCTGCTGTGCCTTCTTCATCATCTTTGGCATCCTGGGTGTGCAGGTGAGGTCACATGAGCCNCCCCCCCCCCCCTCCCCATCCCCACAATCCCACTGCTGGCGTCAAGTCAGATTGCCAATTTTTGCGCAGGCTTAAGCCAAAGTAGAAAAGGGAGAAATCGATTACGACATGCACATATATTCATCGACCTTGTTAGCCTGGAAGTGTCCATCAGCATAATTCCTGTGCCAATTACAGGTCACAGCTCTTAGACTGTGATATCGATTTCTCTCCGAATAGATGGAAGTCGCCCCTATTGGCGTAGATGTACTAAAGGAGTAAGTGTAAAGGTTGTGGATGTGACATCTTGTGTTCAAGGATTTTCTGCAGCCATACCTTTCAACCACTAGCTTTATTCAGGCTAGTAGCAAAAATGAATGTAAAAATAGCCTTTTTTTCAGTGTAACAGAAGACTTTTCATAAGACAAATATATAGAGTGCAGATGAGCATCTCAGCTGAATCCTGCGCACATGAGGATTCATCCTGAATCATTTCACACTTCCCTGAGATTTATTTTTCCATTGATCAACTTGGGAAACTCCCTACAAATACCTCAGAATGATCCCAACTACCAAACACCCCAATACGCAATCAAAATATACCATGTAAAACTCCACAAGACGCGTTAGGGCTTATTTTCAGTGGATGTCTTATTTTCCCATATACAACAAACTACAGTACATTTACCGGTATTCATGAACAAAAATCCACATTTATTCAAATACAAACATCATGTCATCTTCTAACCGTATCTTTACATGTAAACAATCTAACAGTACGTTTATTCATGAACAAAAATCTACTGTGTACACATTTATTCAAATATAGTTGTCATGTCATCTTCTTCTGGAACATCATCATAAATTCTCCAAGCTCCAAATTCCATCCCGAATATCTTGCAACTCAGCTTTTTCTTTTTGCACTTATCTTGTCTGGGGGTCAAAATATTATTTCCTGTTTACATATAATCACATCTCATTCTAGTTACCGTACAATCCATGGGATAGTAACTAGGGCTTATTTGTGGAATAGGACTTATATTACGAGCATCCTGAAGAATCATGCTCGGGCTTATTCTCGGGGAAACGCGGTACTGTACAGTATGTGAAGTCAGTTTCTCCTGCAGTCTTTGTCATGTGCAGGGGCGGATTAACGCACAGGCTAGATATGGCTTAAGCCTAGGGGCCCCATGTGTGCCAGCCTGCAAGGGGGCCCCCATTGGCGCGGAGCGGGGCTGGGTTGGGGGGCCCACAGACTACTGTAGCCTAGGGGCCTCCGTACACCTTAATCCGCCCCTGGTCATGTGTGACAAGGTCATCTCATCTAAACTGACCTGAACTAATTTCTAAGTTCTATGTGTTAATGAAAGCAGTTATTTCTCTCACCGACTGTTTAATGACAAGATGGGGACAGAAACACTCTGTCTAATGGCCTTCAGCAATTGATTGTGTTAAATGCATCACGTCATAAACATAAATTGTCTTATATAGACCTATTAGAAACTTAAAATGGTAAATAATCTTTTTTTCTCTGACACATCTCTATAATTTTATGAATACAACAGCATGAAAGCTAGTAACTTCTTTTAGATTGAAAAGGGACATTTGCAGACCACTCTCAGTCAATAAAATGTAATAAAAGTGTTTATCCTTAGAGTAAAATGTGTTATCTTAAAACCTGGTTCCTTCAATCTGACAGACTCTAAACCAGTGACAAAGTATTAGACGTATTCTCTGTACTGCACAGCTACACATGGCAGCCTGTTGTATATGACAAAATGCTGATTTATATTCAGAGGATTATCAAATGTTTGCTTGAATTCAGCCCAGATGCTCACACGTTTTGTATACAGTACTTTTACGCACAATCATCTATGTATGAACTGTGGCAGGAAAGCAGTAATTAAACATGTAACTAATAAAAATAGCACTTATTTCAGGGTGATACTGCTCTTTTTAAGTATATTCCCATTTCTCAGCTCTTCAAAGGGAAGTTCTATGTCTGCCAAGGAGAGGACACCAGGAACATCACCAACAAATCTGACTGCCTGCTAGCTAATTACAAGTGGGTCCGACACAAGTACAACTTTGACAACCTGGGCCAGGTGAGTCAGACCTGCTGACGACCCACGCTGCAGTGCGCAGTGCGGAGTCCTCAGCCAAGCTGTAAAACTTTACCAGTTTACTGCAGAGTAAGAATGGAAAGCAGTGGGTTTCTGCCAAACTCCATGCGGCGTGGGGTTGGACAGTGCGGACTGTTGCTACTCCCTCACCACTCATCCTCCTCTTTTGTCAGGCTTTGATGTCCCTCTTCGTTCTGGCCTCCAAGGATGGCTGGGTTGACATTATGTATGATGGCTTGGATGCAGTGGGCGTGGATCAGCAGGTTTGCATCAGAATCTTAAAAACCATGCTTTAGGGTGTTGTGGTGTGTGTGCGTGTGTGTGTGTGTGTGCTATCTTTCAGTCACAATGTTCCAAAATTAAGCTGCAACATTTTTATATGGAAAAATCCTCATCCAGGATTATGAGAGCGGCGGTCAAGTTCGGATCTTAAACCTAATCCAGCTTTTGTCATGTTCACTATAGACAGGAAGCTTAAAACAAAACTTGGTAAAGCCAAGGAAGGAAAAAACATCACTAAACTGGCAGGTCAACATTTCGGACCAGATTTCAATGTCTGCCTATTTTCACTTCCATAAGCTGCCTATTTCCCCTTGCAATATTTTTCTACAATTTTTCCTTTGCTTTGGCTGAGTATATTATGCGTCTCACCAAAAGTGTCTATTTTCCTTTTTTTAAAAAAAATTCAGAAGCTGGCAGAAATTTGAATGGCTGTCAAAATGGCCAGCTTTAGTTTTGTAATGCTGTTATCAAATCACTTAAACAGGGCACTCACTTTTTCCAAAGCCTCATACAGTGCAGATCAGTGAGTTAGGTCACTCTGCTTGTGTATGGAAGGTCGTCAGTTCAAATCCTGTATTCAGCAAGAATAACAGCATCTCTGATGGGTTGTTGAGCTTGGCCCTTAACCCCTTGAAAAATACTCCCTCCAGATAAATGGCCGACCCTACTCTCTGACCCCAAGCTTCACTCTCACCTGTTTATTTTTGTGGAGAGCATGATGCGCAACACATGGCCAATCTTTTTGTTTATCTCCATATTTACGGTACTTCCTGTGCACGCCACTGCTCTCACTCGTTTCCCATCTGCCAGCCCATGATGAACCACAACCCGTGGATGCTGCTCTACTTCATCTCCTTCCTGCTCATCGTGGCCTTCTTCGTCCTCAACATGTTCGTGGGCGTGGTGGTGGAGAACTTCCACAAGTGCCGGCGGCACCAGGAGGCGGAGGAGGCCAAGCGACGTGAGGAGAAGCGGCTGAAGCGGATGGAGAAAAAGAGACGCAGTAAGGAGAAGCAGCTGGCTGGTCGGTAGCTTTTCCACATCTTTCTGAGTCCTGCTTGACTTTTGATAGAAAGCAAAACATTGATACGTGAAATGAAGCCCCTCCTCTAAAAAAAAAAAGCCCTTAGCCCAGTATTTCCTCCTCTTTGCGTTAGGAAATGCCCCTCCCCAGCCTTGCCCGCTATTTCTGCGCCTGGTTTACTTTCCAGAGCATGTTTTGTGTGCATACGCAGGAATCTGCATGACAGAACGCTTAGGGTGGGGTGGGGTGGACTTGTGGCATGCCCATACAGGTTTAGCAGCTTGCCCCCTCCCTCTCTTCTTCCGCGCTTAGGCCAGGATCGCCAGGCAGGTAGGGAGACAGCAAACCGTGCTCCTCAGGACGACAGCGCAGCTCTGCATGCACCAGGGCACAAGCGGCGAGTGTCAGGGTGCCTGCCGCTTAGTTTACCCATCTAACCATTTACAACCTGTTTCTCCAGTCCGAGAGATGAAATCCCACCCAATATTCACTATACAAAATTCGCCAAATAACCACGGGATGGCAATTTCCTCAATTGATAACCTGGCCTAAACATCTCTTTCTAAAAATGTATGGCGATTGTACGCAGCTGAATGCGAAATGCTGATAGCTCCCAAATGAGGGGGACTCATCTTGGATTAGACAGAATCCCTGATTCCTTTTTGGATGATACCATCTGTCTGTGTTACAGGACAGAATCAGAAACACTTCCTGTCCACCGTCACGTCTGACAAAATGGATTTCATTTTCCTGAATGTCCCAAAAAACATTCACCTGGGACAAAAAAACAACAAAAAAGATACAACTGGAAGTCTATTGTTTTTTTCAGGGGGAAAGAAATTCACGCACACCTCTCATTTCTGAAAAGGACCCCCTTAGACAAACTGCTTTTTGACCCCTTGAGTCAGAGGTCAGACCTCTTTTTCACGTTCACTAAATGGTCTCCATTGATCCATAATTATTCTTTTTATATGGATATATTTACACTTCCGTTGATTAATCAAACATCATAAGCTATACTGAGCTTCCACCTCATTTCCCCCCCTCACCCACTCACTCACCAGCTTGCTCTTTTTAGTTGCTGGGAATCCATTCACTCACTGGTGTGGATGACTGACGCTGCAGCACAGTACACCAATAAAGAGCATCAGCCTTCACTGGGAAGCTGAGGTCCAGACCCACCGGGTCAAAGGTCACCCTCTGACATCAGGGGGGACAGTGTGGATTAAAGATGCTTTGAATGTGAAGGCTGCTGATTGCATAAGTTATAACAGTTGTTATAATTGTTCCAAGAAAGGCCTCACATATAAAGAAAATGCAGAGGGATCTGATGTTTTGCCCAGCTTCTTGTTTTATGGTGGGTTTTTGGTTTTCAGTGGAAGGGCTGGCAGATTGATGTTGGAGTTGTACCTTAAATTTGCAACCATCAATGTTCGACGTGACGACACGATGCAGTGAGGTGGGATGGAGCAAAATGCACAGAATGCAAAGACATGCCGTGCATCAGTGATGGATAGTGAGCGACGGCAGCCAAAGTTGAAGAATATTAGACCTTTGTCCACCATGCTTTGTCATACTGACAGCTCCCAGCCACATGGGAGTTAAAGCACAGTTGCTTGGCAACATCCTTAACTGTCCCCCCCCAATCACCCTCCTTCATATCTTGGAGGATTGTGCGTGCATTCCCACTGGCGCTTAGCGATCCTCTGCTTCTCTGCTGATGGTGTCAATCCTCACACCTTCTCGTCGCACCATAATGGCCGCATATGATCCCCGACAGTGTCAAGCTGTAAGGATTAACTCTGGTTCACAGTTCCAGCTCTGGTGAGTCAGAGGGACTATCGAGTGACTTCATCATCTCCAAAGGACAGTGAGGTCACTGGAAACAACCAGAAACCAGAATTATTACCATTATTAGTATACATTATTTCTACACAATATTAGTACCAATATTTTGCTTCATTATATAATAAAAGTGTTCACACATTTCCCTCAGTTCAAAATACCCTATATTTATAAAGCTTTTGATTTATATATTTATATAAAAATATATTTATAATGCTGTTGATTTACATATTATATTTATGAATAAATATATTTATAATGCTTTTGATTTATATATTTATATATAAATATATTTATAGTGCTTTTACTGTCTATGACAGTGTTTCCCAATCCTGTCCTCTGAGACCCATAGAAAATCTACGTTTTGCTCCTTTGGGAGCTGGGAAAATGTGGGCCATCAGTAGATCCCCGAGTACCGGGTTGTGAAACAATGGTCTATGATACTATATGCCTTTCCGCATAATATTTTTATCACTAGCCATTATATAGTACTTACAATTAGGATTTTACATTGTTGTAAATCTGATGTTTTCTTTTTCATTTTTTTTGGGCTCAACACTAAATATGTCATGAATGCTCTTCATTAAAGTAGGTCCATTTAGCTAGCAAAAATGTTGTATATAATGACAGCTCATCCACACAGTGAAGAACACTAGTAGATAATTGGAGGAACAGTGAAATGTGTTGTAAATTAGACTTTCTGTAGCTGTAGAATAATATCGCCTTTTCTTTTCACAAGAAAGTTAAAAAAAATAAGATCCGATAGATGATCTGAAACTGACACGCTTATTGGTCGGACTGGCACAGGATTCCACAGATTTCAAATAGCTGTGATGGAGTAGCGGGAGTTTAAGCTGGACTCAGAATGCTGGTGAATGTGGGACATTCTCCCACACATGTGGCATTTCTCCTTCTGACCCACTATTGCTACTGCACTCAGCCTGATTAACATGGTCTCATCCTTCTAGATATAATGCTGACGGGTGTAAGTTGGGCCGGCTCAGGAGGCACGCCGACAGGTACTGAGCTCTAGCATGTCCGTGTGTGTACACTGTGCTTCTGGGCCGCTGTGTAACGCAGCCCTACGGTGGGGTGGGATGGGGCTTACTTTTGGGAGCAGACGGGGAGGGGGATAGGCACCTTCCATGCTCTCGCCCCTTTCCTGTCTCACCGACTGGCCACCATGCATAGGGACATCTTGTGTGTCAAGATCTGTGTGCCACTCATACAGGGGACCAGCCACGTAGACCGGGTTCGAAGAGCCAGGCAGCCTCACGTTCAAACTGGGGAGAGTAGGGTAGCCATTGTCAAGCAGGCAGAGAGTAGCCTGTGAAGGTTTTCTCTTCCTGAGATCTATAGCCAGGGTTCAAGCCTGAGCTATATGGGGGCCATCTGCAGATGGTGGCCATAAGTCCTGTACAGGTACACTAGTGGCCAAAATTGTGGAAAAATCTAGGATTTTTGGCATTATGCTTTAAAAATTAATACTTGAATATGGGCGGTAATGTATATAAACTATCAAAGAATGTTACAAATATCATACATTGGACGATTACGTAAGTAACAGTTGAATAAAGTTCTGCAATCTAAAAATTGGAAGTGTTTCCACAATTTTGGCCACTAGTGTAGAACGTAATTGGCTCTGCTTTGTCAGCAGAAAGACAGTTTACATTATACTCATCTAGTCTAGCAATAGTGCCTCCTACAGCCTTCAATCAGAAGTAGCTTTTCCGTATGGGACCATATAACATGTGGTCTATAAAAAAGCAATCAACTTGGCCAGGGGGTGCATCGGAGGAGTGCAGTCCTTAGCACCAAGAATTGTTGCTTCAGTCTAAAGTGAAAAAGAACAACTAAAAAGTAACATCTTAATGGGCCAAAGATCTTTTCCCTCTAATAGAATGACTCAAAACAAAATACCAAAAATGCACTATGCTCAACTTCTAATAGATACAAAGGTATCACTGTAAGTTGTTAATGTGGTAACAAACACTGTATCTGGTCGTGTGTGTTAGTCCTCTCCTTTGTTACACACTCACTCTCCCAGCGTGATGCTTCTTGGCTTGCTGTGTGAGGAGGGGGGGCACTCATAAACTCAGATTTGTGTGTTTGGAGTCTCATTGTTGGTCCTTCCGGTGTTGGCATTGTACTGTGACTGTACACGTGACCGTGTCCACGGCAACAGTGTGCCAGGGTGTTTTTTTTTTTATAACCACACGGTGTTTATCATTTATGACTGTTCAGAAATGCATGATTGTGACTCATTCGTACCTTGTGCTAAGAAGATGAAAGGCCTTCAGCATTCCCACTTTACAGGAGGGTTAGGAAACAGAAATGTTTCGGTGTGTGTATGTGTGTACTTTTTTGTGCGGATGATGATGGGGATTGAGAACTGAATTTGTCAGCTGAGACTCAAGTGTGGCAAAGTGGTTTCTGGGCATTGCTGCTTCAACAGTATAGTAACAGAGGTTAGGTTACTGGATAAGCACTAAAATATGAAGAACAAAATCTGCATTCTCTGGGAAGGAGATTATTCTTAAGGTAGACCATTGAGGTTCATGCATTTTCACAATAAAGACGTTCTGAAAACACGCAGTTCTGATCTGTTGTGCTTCTGATACATTTCCTCTTCCGTTTCTGGGATTCTAATCCTTTTAATGGAATAACAGCTTTGTAAGAGAGCACCATTAGTCTTTTGTTGTCACCAACATGAACAGCATGAGACCCTTGTTTCTGGCCATCTCAAACACACCCTTAAAAAAAAAGGTCAAGTTGTAAGGTGTGCAATCAGCTCATCCAAAAATGCATTGTGTGAACACTCTGCATTGTTTTGACTAGCATAAGCCTTTACCTGTTCCTGTGGTGAATGCACTGTTTGCTTTCAATTCTCAAGTTGTCTGGCTTCAGAAATGGTATATGTTTTTTTTGGTATCCATACAAAGGTATCCATAAAGTGGAGGCATCTATAAAAAGGAGCAGAGAATTCTCATTTGTGTCAGGTCACATTGCATATTTTATTTGCTTAGCAAATGCTTTTATTCAAAGTGACTTACAGAGCATACAGGACTCTAAATTTGTTCATTTATACTGGATATTCACCGAAACAATTGAGCTCAAGTATGTTTGTCAAGTCTAGTTTCTTCAGGATGCATCACCTGATGTCCACCTGATTTGCATTATGTAGTTGATAAGTTGCAGAATTGCACGGTCGTTGGAGTCTGGCATTGCATTTCCCGTTCTAGAGTGATGAGATCTTATTAAAAGCCTTGACACACAGTGGGAAGTGGCCAACCTAACATGTAGGGATGTACTGCACTTTCATCCATTCCTACTAGCCAGGGAACCTGTGTTTTTTGCTAATTAGAAGGCAACGTGTTAATTAGCCTGTCCTCCAGTGTGATTCGGCACACTTTTGGGCAGCTGTGATAGGGAGGCCACCCACTAGTCTGTCTCTGTCACTTAGCTTCTGTTCCACTCCTGTTGGACGGCCCACGTTGGCTGAAGATCCTGCATACCGGCAAGTCGGATCAGAGGTGACGGCTAATAATCTCACTCAGTTGTGGAACCGGAACCATCTGTCTCTCTGTACCTGTTTCCTCCTCACTCCTGGTGACTCCTTGAGTCATAACTTATTCATCCTGCTCTGGCTTTTCATCTGAGGCTGTTTTCATTTACCTGGAGATGCTCAGGGCAGGTGGAGCTGCTTTGCCAGCTGAGATAGTGTGAGCCAAAGCTTTCCCTTGCCCCGGGTGAATGGTGGCCAAGGGTTCACTGTAGCCGACCGTCACCTCTCTGAGAACTACAGCTTAGGATATAATACCACTTCTGGGTCACATAGCTCCAACAGAAGAACACGTGTTCTTTGATGCATTTCAATGGAACCTACACAGCTGTGAGAATTTGGAGAAATTTTTCTCTGAAAATTTTGTACACTTGTCAGGTCAGATATGGCTGGCTTGAAAACAAAATTCATACTGGATGCTACATACTGTATATTGCTTTTTTCATAACTTAATGAGTTGTGGAATATGATAAGATGAAATGATGCAACATGTACGAGCACTCCGATAAGTGAACTAAGAGTTTGATTGTAGAGGTTTATTGTACTTATGCGTGTATTACACTAATGAGTAATATATAATACATTTTAAGCTAGTAGATATGGAGTAGCGAGAGAGATTGAAATGATACTTTTTAGCTCTACTTTTGGCAGCTGAAGGAAGTGTGGTTTCTTACGCAATCTGGCAGTGAGAAACACGGCTCCTTTTTGTCACCCCACGAGCAAAACTGACGAGAAGTGTTTTAATGCAACTCCAAGAAACAGTGGCTCCACAGAATGAACAGATGGCGTGAACTTTTCTGCATACAGGGAGATATTGCTCAAATGCATTTGATGGTGTTATAATCTAGTATGTGTCCATTCGCCATTTCCCTAAAGGTGTCTGTTTTTAGTTCATTTGTTATCATTGAAAAAATAAAATCTTTTTTTTTTTTTTTTTGCACAAATCAAAAATGACTCATCAATAACGAGGTAAATCATTTAGTAGATTGCAGTGTTTTTTTTTCACAGTAGAATGTCCGTGGTGCTTAACTGGGAATACTAATGAGCAGTATTTTCCAATAAAGGGCTCTTAAAGGTACCGTGTATGTATATACAATATAAAAAGTTTAAGCAAATCATATTTTGAAGGGGAACTTTGTAGAACATTTAATCTTAGAACAGTAACTCAGTTGTACATGGAAAGAACAAGCACAGCAATATTTGTGCACCGTAGTGTTAAACCCTGATATGGGGCAAACAGAAAAACGGTAAACAAAGAGATTATAGTTCGGGTGTTGAAACTCTTCTAAATGTAAGAATCTGTGATTTGACAAACCCCCCAAGATATGGTGATCTTTCAACTTCTTTCTAGGTCACAATTTGTTGAAACGGATTTAACTAAACTTTTTTTTTCCACCTCCCACATTTTTTTTTCTTGACTGGGGGGGAGGAGGTAAATAATTACGGCAGCCCATTAGCCCATCAAATCCATCTCTGCTACGGAGTGATGGAGGGGCCTTATAAGAAACGAGGCTGAAATGTGGAGAGTGAGACAGCTTTCTTCATCAGCAGATGATTATCTTTTGGCAGGGGGCACTCCTGACATGTGCAGGAGTGTGAATGTTTAATGTGGTAGGTATAGTCATCCTCTTGGGCGAGGCTGTGACTGGGACTACTTGAAAGCCTTTGTGCATTGTTGATTGATGTTTTTTTTTCCTTTTTTTCTTTTAAGTTCACAATTTTAAGACAAAATTCAAATATTCAAATACTGCAAAAATGAATTGGATGAGAAGAAACAGTTTATGTAAGCTTGTACTTTTGGGTGTATTACATTAATGAGTAATAAATATATAATACATTTTAAGATAGTAGATATGGAGTAGTGAAAGAGATCTAAATTGTACTTTTTAGCTCTACTTATCTTGAAAAATTAGTTCCTTGATGGGTAAGAGCCAAATAATCCACTGTGTATGGAATGAAATATATGGTTCTGATTTTTTTAGAATGAATCATGGGCAAATAAGGGAAATAATTAAATTGGAAAAATAACTTTTCTGAATAGAAAACACAGCTGTACCTCTGGTTGGGGCTCATAGACGAATCTGCAAATCTTCCCCTCCGTTTAAATCCCTAATGATCTCTGTCCCCTTTAATGGTATTATCTCACGCACACCCTCCCCCCCCCAGTGAGCTGTCCACCACTCACAGCTACATAATCGCCCACCTCCAGTCGCCATCCAGTTTCCATCCCAGACGGCCCATCTCTCTCAAGTCAGACTCAGAAAGAAGTGTGTGGTTTGTTTCATATGTTAACCTGCTGCATGATGCGTGTGAGTGCGTTTGTCTTAACATGTCTGTTTGTGGGTGTGTGTGAGTTTTCATGTATGTGCATTGGTCTGTGTGCGTTTCTGTATGTATGAGTGCTTGTGTGTGCATTGTGTCTGTACATATATTGGTCTATGATGCTATCATGCCTTGTCATTGTGATCAATGTTGTTTTTCTTTCTCCGCCTTTCTTTCTTTCTTTCTTTCTTTCTTTCTTCTGGACTCCTCAAATAGCTCCACTGCTCGTTCTCGCCGTCTTTCGTGTTTTCTTCTGTAATATTGATGTCAAAGAGGGTAGAGCATTTGAGAAATCCAACAGAATTCTCTCGACGCATTTTTTTTTTCCTTCACTTCTTTTGTACAGTTAGCCTTTGATTCAATGTATGCTGGTTAAAAATGATGACGGAAAACCAAAACATAGCTATTAGAAAGGCAATATTTTGCTTTAAATTGACAGACGAGTAGTAGTAATGTCAGCATCCAGCAAACATTGACTCTAATGTGATTAAGTCATTGGCTGTTGATGTCAGGGGTGTAAAACCAGTGGAACTAAAATAAATCTCGGGCCTAATAGGGTCTTGGAAGACAAAACGAAGCTTAAATTCATGAACAGCTGTGACATTGATGACCTTTTTGCAGCTGGTTTTACCACTCCTGTCCTTTTCTTCCTTTTGAAGACATTGTTACCATCCAGGGCTCTGAGCTTCTCTCACCTTTTCAGCTGTCTCTGTCCAGCCCTGGTCTCAGTCACACAGCTCATGACATTAACCTCCTGCCCAGGGCCACTACCCCTTTAGGACTCCACATTCTACCTAAAATATTGGCTGTGACTCCACACAGAAGCATTTTTACCCCATAAGACCATAGCCTTATTCAGATACTCCTTACCTTGCCCACAGTCAGGTCTGGCCCATAGAGGACAAGATCCAGGTTGTTTGATCCACTGGTGGAAATAGCCACAGAAAAATCTTTCGGCATAGCTAATGTAAGTGTTTCTTTAAAGCTCCATTAACCTTTAATCAGATACCCCCATGATTTATGTGACAAATGAATATGACAAAGATTTCCCATTATGTGTGTCTCTGATGTTATACCTAGTTAGGTGATGATAGATAGACACTTACTGTATGTCCCAACACTCCTCAGGTTCAGGTCGATATGTGCATCTTCTCTTTTGTTCCCTTTTTGCCTTTTGTAACAACCCTCAATTTACCTTGGATGTATTTTTTCGAGGGGGGGCCTTGGACCTCCAGAACGAGTGCCCTGAAAATGGTTTCCCCCTCAGTCTATAGATATCCTCTAGACCACATGGGATCACTCGATGTCATCTGCCCAGACAGAGGGAGCGATTGTGAGGAATATTGCCCACTACGGAACAGACTGATTCGCGCTGTCGTGAGGGCAGAGTGTGCAAGGTCCATGGCCTTTGCGAGGGATAAGGGTAGATGAAGAAATCCAGCTCTCAGCCTGCACGAGCACAGGGTGAAATATGCAGGCCTCCAGGCGGAGGCAGCGTGATGAGCATGAATACCGACTGGTGGATGGGGAGGTGGGAATGAGTTGGCATCTGTGGGCTTTGAACCCGATTGAGTACTGCACTGAGCCACCAGCCATTTTTTTGGAGTCAGGTACTGATAACCCCAATCAATGGCATTTTCTGATTCTTTATTCAGTTTAAACCTACTAAACTAAACTTAAACTAACTTGGCTCGGTTGTTGTAACTGGGGCCTACAGTATAATCCAATTCTCTAACATCACATTTGTTTGCTTCTCAAGCGAGCTGGGAACTCAAGCTTTGAATTTGTGAAGGGTAGGTTGGCAGGGTGGCCAGTGGAAGAAGGCCTGTCTCCCTCAGTCTCAGTGCAGTACTCAGGGGAAGAAGGCCTGCCTCCCACAGTCTCAGTGCAGTACTCAGGGGAAGAAGGCCTGCCTCCCACAGTCTCAGTGAAGTCCTAGCAGGGCATAATCTCAGTTCTCAGTATCATTTCTCTTCCTCCTCTGTGGGATTTTTTTTTCTCTGAGGAGCAACTTGTGCTCTAAAGAAGTAGTGTTACAATAAAACAGCCTAGTTGAAGGCTTTAAATATCCAAAATCATTTTAAACTAGGGGGGGAAAAGAAAAAAAACCTTTAGCTTAAATGCCCTCTAGTTTTTTTTTTTATTTTACTTCCACTGAGGTTACTGTTGATTCGCTAAGCCCAGTGGGGGAAGGGAAGACTAGCTGAGAGGCTAATGAAGCGAGGAGTGCTGTGCTGAAGGACCAGAGGAGCTGGGCTGACCTGTGGGGCTTTGCTTCTATTATTATATTAAGTTCTCAGAGCATCTAGGCTCAAAAACTTGCAAGCCGATCCGGGGTAGGAGCCAAGCCGGCTCAGGACAGGAACGCGGCAGCCTAGTCTGACACCATTTTTATTATGTGAGTTGGCCATTGCCATCACTGCCAATGAACGACCCCAGACTGCTGCTTTTTATTAGACCTCATCTACTCCAGCAACAGCTCACAGGTGGAGCCATTATTTTGCTGATGTCAGAGAGCATGTGAGGTGTTAGACGCCATTGAAAAGATGTGAGGCCAATTCATAAATTGTGGATTATGAAAGTTTTTTAATGTCAAGTCAGCAGGTTTGGGAACGTAAGGAACATGTTTCCAATTAGTCTGCATTGGAGCCAGATGTCTCTTATAATGCTCGCAATAATGAACCACATGACTGCTCTGGTTGGCATCCTCTCCTGGAACCCCATCGTACTGACTCCTGGCGCTCCATATACAGTACCATGCGTACAAAGATGCCTCAGTACAGATGGGTATGTCATCCCTGTATTGTTTTTCCCAATGAAAAACGTGCCACCTGTTCAGACTTCTCATAGCCATACCTTATCATGGGTCTTTTGCATGGAAAGCCGTAGACTGCGAAAAGCATCCATGTTGCTATGCCAGTGCATGACCATGGGCTTTCCACTATTCCGTTATGATGCACTGCAATGCAGTGTGCTTGTTCCTCGCGTTCCCGCTGCATTTCTATGGACAGCATGTCCCAGGAGACGCCCTTGTTGTCCCGCCCCCGTTGGACAGTAAGGCCCCACATGGACAAACCACTGCTTCTCTGTCGCTTCAGCATTGATGTAGGCCAGCAAAAGAATAGCCTCTCTTCTTCAAACACTGCCGGTTGTCTCATTTTCTTTTGTATCATTTTATACAGTCCTTCTAAGATACTGGAAATTGTAAAACTGTCTTCTTTTTTTCCAGTTTTCTTTTTTGTTGTCATGGCAACACAAGTTAATGTTTGTCCCTCTCTGAGGTTTCCCAAAGAAAGAAACTAGGTACGCTAAGCTGATAATGCCACTGCCATATAATAAACAACTTTAAGTGCAATTTCTTCCCTCTTAAACTCAAAAGTGCCCTCCCATAGTTCCCATTCCTCAAGGTAAATAATTGTTCTCATTTTCTCAGTTTTTTCTCTTTTCAGATCTACTTATTTGGCTCATTATAATAAAAGCCAGTTAAGTGTGTACAGTCCCGTTCATGGCCGTGGCCGGCTCCTTGTCCTCATATTTCAGGGTTATAAGACTAAAGCTGTACCTTCTTTCTTTCTGTCTCTTGGTAACGCGGCTCCCTCGAGAGTGGATGCTCTGCTCTGCTGTCTTTCGGCCTGTTTCTTCTTGCTCTGTCACCTTGTCTTTTTCTCTCGGTCCCGTGTGCTGATGGAGAGCGGTGGAGTCAGCGTGTGCGACTGGGCCGTGGTCTCACTCTCCCCCCTCACCCACCCTGAACCCCTGACCCACTCCTGCCCCAATTTTCCTGCCACAGAAGCCCAGTGTAAGCCCTACTACTCGGACTACTCGCCAACCCGCCTGCTCATCCACAAGATGTGCACCAGTCACTACCTGGACCTCTTCATCACCGTGGTGATAGGCCTAAATGTCATCACTATGGCCATGGAACACTACCGGCAGCCCAAGGTAGGGATGGCATCTGCTGGCGTAGCAGAGGAATCCAGGAGAGCCTGTGAAGCATGCACACACACGCACACACACATAAGTGACACACACACTCTACAGCCATATTGCTCAGGGAAATTCCCCCATCTGTTGCGGTGTGAGTTACCATGACAGGAGTGTCCCAGCATTGTTCCAGACTGCACAATCTTTGAGCTTTAATGGCTCCGGCCTGTAATTCATACAGTGCAACAAATTAATCGTGGATTATTTGAAGTGACAGGGATAGGGAAAACAAATGAGCCACGGGAGGCAACTGGAGCTATCGGTTAGACGGTAAATCCTCAGTGTGCTGCCATCCCTTTATTGCATGTTTGTCTGTCGAGATTAACCTTTAAATGAAAAAGGGACGCTGTAAATCTCCACCAATCCATAGCGGTCTTTATGGCCTCTCAAACTCAGTGAGGCAAAGGAGCTGCAAACCGCTGGGAGAAGGGAGGGAAAATGGAAGGTGTACTTGAGGAGAGGGGGCTTGAACGACAAGCTAAATTCCTTTTCACTCCGAACATCAGAGCGTGCAGACTGGCAGCTTCTAAATTGCCCTCATTAGCGATCATTTTGAGCACGACGACAAGTGACAGAACGGGGATTTTGGCTGCCCCGGTCTCCGCTCAGCCATCTCCGATCTTTCCTCATCCATCCTGCCTGTTAAAATGCTGAACGACGTACCAGTCATACTCCTGGCTCATATAGACTGCCTTACCTCATAAAGTAACATACTTATAAAGCATGTACACCAACACCTAGTGTACATGTATGTATTCTGTGGGTGTTTTCTTTCTGTTCACACTCTAGTATCTATGTACACTTATCATGTTCCTGAAGTGAACTCCTGCCTAAAAAAAGGCCAGGAAAGTGTTTGGGGGGGGGGGGGGGGTCAAGCTAGTGCAAACCCTGAGAATAGTTACCTATTGGGCAGTATTATATTCTGTTCTCTCTCCTCAGTGTTGAACTGAACCGCAACCGCAATCTTCGTGGGGACCATCAAGTCATTTCAATGGGCAAAGTGCTAGTCAAGATTTTTGGCTATTTTAGTTCTTGTGTGCACCGATTTTTATTAAATTGAATTTCCACTGGCGGGGACCAAAAAAATTTGGTCACCACAATGAAATATATACGCAACTCACTCTTGGATATATATATACGTGTGTGTGTGTGTGTGTGTGTGCGAGTGGGTATACCTACAGTATCTTTATGGGGACACAATGTCCCCATAACGTGATAAATATCCATTTTTTTTCCCTTATCGGTGACTGCTATGAGAAATCTAAAAATGCAAAAACCCTTGTATTTTGTTTAGTTACTTATGGTTATAGTATAGGGTGGGGGTTAAGGTTGTCATAGTTAGCATTAGCATTTTTCCCATTGAAATGAATGAGTGGTCCCCATAAATATATGTTTACCCTACATGTGCGTGTGTGTGCGTGTGTGCATACATACACACATCCTATACATATATATATATGTATATGAAGTTGATCATGTATATATATATATTGTGTGTTTAGACTTGCTTAGGTGTCTCCCCAAGTGGCTTGGTAGGTGGCCATGTTTGTGTCACGCCCCGACCCTTGAGCCATCCAGGTTTCCAGATTTTTACACCTGTCACTAATTGACGTCTTTAGTTTCTCCTCCTTTCCAATTATTATTTTTTTTTGTGGGAAAGTAACAGCAATCGTTAGCCAGCCCTGTCCCCAAAGTCATTCAGGGTAATTCAGCCCAGGGAGTCAATTGATTTCTGGTGAAGAGCCAGAGCGGTGCAGGTCTTAATTACGGTGCGTCTGTGCGTGGAGACAGAGTCAGGGGGGCAAGACGGCACAGACGATGGAATTGTTAACAAATGATGGACTTTATATACTGTAACAATATGTCAAGATTTCCATCATTACTCGACTAACTCAGTAGAATAATCAGTTACTGATAACTCTTTCGATAAAGTTGAAGACTCTTGTAGTACTTGATATGATGCCAAGATTTATGTGGACTGGTGAATCATATAACCTGTCGTCATATTAAATGTCAGACTTTAATGTTTCATAATAAATCATGGTATGTTGTTATCTTGCTTCTCATGAGTGGTACACGTGCATAAAAATGTTCTCCTCATCATCCTTTTCTTTGTCTGACGTAGGTGTTGGACGAAGCGCTGAAGATCTGTAACTACATCTTCACCATCATCTTCGTCCTGGAGTCTGTTTTCAAGCTGGTGGCTTTCGGCTTTCGCCGGTTTTTCAAAGACAGGTCAGAGCACTAACTCAACGGTTATGTCAAAACGCACTCGGGTAGAAGTTAGGCTTGTTATACTCCCTGGTAACTTAATTTTTGTAATTCTTATGATCCCATTAGTTGATTCCTTTACAAATCCCTTCCTTTTAACAATATGAAGTTGATCATGTGAACCTACCATAAGCATAATAGAAACACAGCAGGATTATTAAACAGAATGCAGTGATTAGCTACTGAAAATCACTTTCTTACCAATTGTATGGCATATTACACATAAACATTGTTAGGTACATTATTGTGTTCAAAAATAATTGATTTCTGAAAGGTTAAAAAACAAAGTTATTGATTGGTTCCTCCATCTGCCCTTGGAAATATGCTATGCTCTCCTACATGATTATTTTTAGCCTTTCCTGGCTTAAGCAAGGACCCTGTTTTTTCTTATTTTTTTTACTAGAACTCCCACACCAGAACATTCTGACAGGTCTACCTTTCTCTCTCTTAAAAAAATCAACCAACTGTCCAATTCAGATTAAAAGCTGTATTTGAAGCAATTGCATCAAACTGCTTCAAAGAACTAAATAATGACCAGTTGCATTCAGTCCTGGAAAATTGCAAGATAAATATATAACCTTTCAAGTCTCTGTTCTTATATACTGTATGCTACACAAGCTGGCCTGTTTTGCTTACCACTTTTACCAAAAGTCAAGTATTCTTACATCTTGAACCTGACATTTCCTCCCATTCCCAGCGTGGTTCAGTATAAAGATTCTGAAGGGAAATTCTGCAAAAATACACTATGGTGATTGAGTTGTAAATTTTACTTACTTTAAAAACACCTTTAGTTTTTGCTGTTTCAAATTTTTTGTTCAATCTGAAGGAATCTTTGGATGTGGAATGTTTATAGGAAGATTGCACATCCTAGGCAACACAGATTTCTTGCAAGTTTTAAGAATTTGTGTCTAAGTATTTATTAAAATAATACATTTAAAAGACAACAGGTAACCTAAAAGCGAATAAATAATACATATTTCATAGATTTTGATCTTTTTTTATGCAAATCACAGCATTTTAATTTTTAGTCTGGGGGGTAACAGGTTGATGGCAGGCTTGGGTAAATCTTAATTGTGTCTAAACTATCATTAATGCTAACAATCCACAAGTAGGAGGAATACAGGAATATGTTTCAAACACATTTTACACTGAGCCTGCTTTGTGCATTTACCCACTGCATTTTCCTGTCACTCAAAAATGTATTACATCAGTTTTTCCTTCATATCACTTCCATATTAATGATTTTTGTACAAGTTTAAACACCAGCAAACACAATGCATAGAATTATTCCAAGGAACCTACAGTATTGAGATTGCCTAACTAAAAATTATTCCTTATGATTAATTCTGACTGAATGCTGAATTTAGTGTCAGAGGTTTTAAGTGTTAATAGGGGAAGCAGGAGGGGTATCTCTTGAACTTGATTCACTGAAATTTGTTACAGTTCCCAATTCCCAAAGCAAAGGTAATTGCTGCAAGACTTCGTATAATAAACCATTTTTGATCTAGAGGCCTTTGTGCAACTTCCTTCACTGCCGATGTCCTCAGTACTACATCATACATGAATGATTGCCCCTTTCATTGTGAAACATGGGGCCCAGACAGCAATTTATACATTAAAACAGTTAAGCTGGAGGTTGACCTTTTTCTTACTCTGCACAGATGTTCTGAGAGAAATTCAATGTATTTTAAGGTTCATTAGTTAATCAGAAGCAATCGAAGGCTTTTTTTTCTTTTAAGTAAATATATTCATTCTGAAGACGTTTTTCAATGAGAAACTTTCAGATGGAAGCCGTTGTAGGAATGCATATCACATGACGGGCTGCATCGGAATTTAGTCAGCTTTTCAAATTTAAATAAAATATTGAAGTGAACTAAGTTCTTTTTAAAAGAACAGACTTTTTTCCTGATGTGGATAGTTTTTTCTCTATGTAAAGTTGAACTATTTTAAAGAGTATTTATATATTTGTATGCTTGGCTATGAATATAGCTTGTTTGCGTTTGTACCCAGGCACCTACGGGAATTTGTGTGGGACTTAAGGGATTAATCAGGCAGGTTGCTTCAGAAAGCAGTGCTGTTTAGACACCGCATTGTTTCTCACGTCAATCCCCTATCTTGAATGCACTTTAATTGAAATTCTTTCCACACATCAATTGGTTTCCTCGCATTGAAGCACTCGTGCCGCCATTGAACAGACTGTCCCTTATTTCCATACATTACGCTGCTCCCGTGATGTGATACGATGCGGTAATGCAGCGGCGCATCTGTAGCAGGCAGATAACATAATGCGCCATGCCGTGCCTTTCTTTGTCGGCCAAGTTTCTCCAGGTTTTTTAACTTTGCACTTTGAGCTAAAACCAGCTGCACTCCGAGCAGGTGGAACCAGCTTGACCTGGCCATCGTACTCCTATCTATAATGGGCATCACTCTCGAGGAGATCGAGGTCAATGCCTCCCTGCCCATCAACCCCACCATCATACGCATCATGAGGGTCCTGCGCATCGCCCGTGGTGAGTGCTGCTGCCTGCCTGGCCACCCTATGTCACCCCCTCCTTCTCTTCCCAGGCTGACTTGAGGGTTCCTCCAAAAGGTCAAGGAGTCACGCCTCCTTGCAGTCGCAGCCCTGCCCCCATTAGATCATGCTGGGTGCGTCGTTTTACTGACACGTAGGACTCCAGATGGCTGCGATGACCGGGTTTTTTTTTTTTTTTAAATAAAAAATGGGCAAATGGAACCATGCTTAGCGTGATTGCTGCCTGCGTAACGACAGAGCCGCCTTGGGCGTCAGTATCGATTACACCCTGCGTGGAGACCTCTGGATAAACACACCTGCACGGAGCCATCTTCTTCTGCTGTATGGGGCCCGTTTGCCCAGGACGGAATGGGAGCTGCTTTAATTAAAGTCATGCCCGTCTCCAGCCTCCACTAATGCCAGCTAGCGCTGATTTTTCTAAAACTGTCCTCCTGAGAGGTCGGTGTGCGAGGGCTGAATGGCCCTGTCACCAAAGTCATTAACCCCTCACATATGCCCACTGTGTAGAGCAAGGCCCCAATAATAACACCCGCTGACTCCTCCTGCGACCTGCGGAAATTACAGCGGCGCCATGGGTGTCCCGCTCCAGCCGTTACCGTGCGTCTCCTCCCTGCGGTGTCGCCCGTGTTCTCAGGGAGACGTGACAGCCCAGGGCCTCGGGGTCCCAAGGTTTTTTTTTTAGGATGTCGGGTGGATGAGCATTTTCTCATGGCGAGTGCATGATCCTCCCGGCTAGGGAGGGGGCGGCGTGCGGCTTTTGGGGAGGACAGGAGGTCAAAGAGGGAACCCTGCTAGGACAGGCGAGGTTAATTCTGAGTGACGGCACTGGAATGTCAGCTACATCCGGGGGGGAGGGGGGGGGGGCATGAACGACGTCACTGACAGCAAGGTCTTACTGGTGTATTTATGCATGAGGAATGAGAATGCTCAATAATGAAATATGAAATTCAGTCAGGCCAGATATAATGCATTCATTATGGTTAAGGTCAGGGGTTCTCGTCCATAGAAATAAATGGACACTCGTCACAAAGATTTAAATATAAACAACAATTGTGTGTGTGTGTGTGTGTGTGTGTGTGTGTGCAGTGTTGAAGCTGCTGAAGATGGCTGTTGGAATGAGGGCTCTCCTGGATACAGTGATACAAGCCCTACCTCAGGTATGTGCTCACCACTTCTTCCCTGGTGTCCGGAAAGTGTCATGATGGGACCCTGTTCTGCGAATCAGCTGTCTGTCCCTGGCATACAGTTTCACACAATTTCACACCATTAGACAATCAGAATTCACTTTATTGGCCAGGTACACCTGCATGTGCTGGGAATTTGTCTTGGCATTATTGCTGCATCTACTCTCAAATCAAAACACAAAAAACAAATAAACAATAATAAAAAGAAATAAAATATAACATTCAATAGCATGAGAAATATTGCAGATCAGTAAAGCTTATGGTCAGTAAATTGGTATTTAAAAAATGTACAAAATGTGGAAATAGATGTGCAAATTGAAAGCAAAAATAATTAATTACATGATGGCCAATTCCTGCTGGTACTTTGAACTGAAAATTTTTGAAAATTCATGGAAAAAGTTTGGTAGTGTGCCACGCTCCCGATATTACCGACAGTCATTTGTCCAGTTGCTTAATTGCCATACTGCCTGTGGCTGAAAATAATGTTATTTTTCGTTCCTGCAATCACTGTGACCTTTTCATAAGCAGTTAAACATCAGCAGACACACACCCCCCGGCGGGGGTTCAGACTCACTGTGGGCTGTCCCAGATTACTTTTTTTCCCCTGGGATCCCACATCTCCCCAGTCAAGTCTGCATGTGTATTTGCACTTTACATGGGGGCAGAAATGCAGATTCATGCGTCGCAGAGATAATCGGATGGCAGCATCGCAGGGGCACACAGATGATATCGGGCGCCGATTTAACATTCAGACGAGTTTTGATCTCAGTACACAGTGAGCCTTCGGGCACCATCTAAATTCCTGTAAATCTTGGATATTTGCATGACCGGCCATGATAACAATGAAATATTTTTGGTCAGAGGTGATTTTTCATTGCCCGTCCTCAAGTGTTATCTGATACAGCTTCTGATTTCCCTCTGCGTCTCTTTCTTTCTCCTCGTCCTCCTCCTCTGCCTTTAGGTGGGGAATCTGGGTCTTCTCTTCATGCTGCTATTCTTTATCTTCGCAGCGTTGGGCGTGGAGCTGTTTGGTGACCTGAGTAAGGCATCTCAAACACAGCGTACAACATGCTGACAGACCGTCAGATTGCTCAGAAAACATATGCCACAAACACTCGCTAATTATCAAGAGCTATGCTACTCTCAGGGTGTGCTTTCTTGCATGGGGTTCTGTTCCATTTAAATTCTAAATTGCCTGAAGAGTTTGTTAAACTGATGAATTGATTCATCTAATTGGTTCTTCAGAATTACTTTTAGCCCTTAAAGAGGTCATTAAAATTTCACTCCAAAGTTCTGTTTTTTTGTGGCTACATTCAATCAAGGACTGAAAGTAACAGAATAAAAGCAGCAGGTACAATTAGGCCGCTGGTTGAAAATGGACCCCCACCACCCCAAATGACTCTGTCAGAGCTGTGGATTTCTGGATTAGCACTGAGGAGAAGATTAGAAGACTCAGACATCTTCCCTGGAACCTAGTGTTTCCTGAACAACTATTTTTTCCCAGTTGTCATTCTCCTTGTTCTCAATGTAAGCTGCCTCCTACCATCGAAAGTGACACACCTCCCGTTCCGGATAGCCTTGACGTACCTTCAATATTTCACCTCATAAGGCATTATTAACCCCACTGGGGTGTCTGCAGTTCCGGGTTTCAGAACCACTGCCCTGACCCAGTAATAGGGACCATAATTGAGAAGATGAGCTGATAATTTGAGAGATTTCATGCAAGAGAGGAACTTGTGGGTTTCTTCCCCAGGGTGCTGTCTAGTCAAAGACCAGTAAAGGCCTGCTTGTATCTAGTTGTTTAAATTAATATCCTTCTCCTTGGTTTCCCAACCCGGTCCTCGGGGAACCCCAGACAGACCACGTTTTTGTTCCCTCTCATCTCCCAATTTGGATGGTCTGACAGGAAGCTGGGAGGGAGCAAAAATGTGGATCATCTGTGGGCCCCCGAGCACCAGATTGGGAAACACATGCACTTAAGTTTACCTGTGGTGGGGGGAGGGGGGGGGGCACACAGTCAGAGACAGTAAATTAACTGTTATCTCTTATTCCCCCTCCCTGTTTATCACAGTATGTGATGAACTCCATCCTTGCGAGGGTCTGGGTCGGTACGCCACCTTCAAGAACTTTGGCATGGCGTTCCTCCTGCTTTTCAGGGTGTCCACAGGGGACAACTGGAATGGCATCATGAAAGTAAGTCGGGGGAATGAGGAACCACAACCCCCGTTAAATGTTATGCCACCTATCTCACTTCAGGCAGCCTTATTACATATATATTTATATACCTTCCATTTTTTAATATATTCCAAGAAAATTTGCCCTTTACAATTGCATTTTTAAGCAATTCTGAAATGCCAACATATCTCATAGCATTTGTGGATTTCTGGATTAGCACTGAGGAGAAGATTAGAAGACTGAGAAAATTTGCGCTGCTATGAAAACAAAATATAATGCATTTTAATCTTTATATGCTAACTCGACTTCATTTGCGCTATACGGGTTAAAATGCTAGGTATTTTCTTGTTATAGCAGCGCAAATGCACATAAAATAAGTACGCATTTGCACTTTTACAAACAATCGATTGTCGCACGTATCGTTTTTAAAGGTGAATGCACCAGTTATTTTAAAGGGGTGCACCAGTTATGTGCACCCCTGTTTATAGAACAAATATAAATAAACTGGTGATACTACATTCTGGGAATGCGGGTTTGTGCACCAAGTGAGCGAAAATCATATTTACGGTTAATGATTCAACTTGTTAATTTGGTATTTTATTTTAGGTTCTCCCCAGTTCTAATTAATGCTACATTTTGAAGCATTCCTGCAGTATTATATTTATATAGGACATCACTTTCTCTCATACGGCAGTCAAGTAATTGCTGCATGGAGGGAATAATCAATTCTCGAGCCATCGATGTCAACCAATCAGGTGCCTATTAATTCTATATCCCTTAAGAGATTGTTTGAGAAATATATCTAGGAAAACAAACACCTTTCGTAAGATATATCTTTAGTCTTCGAAAGACGCCAAGAGTCACCGTTATCAAGAAACCCATACCAGATGATTACATAACTTGAAATCATGTGGAATTATCAGGTTTTGGTCAATTTGCCATTCAGAAAAAAACAGCCACATGTCTAGTTCCTGTAATACCCAGTGCTTCACCCACCCTCTTCTGCCCTTTGTCCTCTGCAGGACACTCTGCGGGACTGCGCCCAGGACAACGGACCCTGCTACAACACCGTAGTCTCACCCTTCTATTTCGTCTCCTTCGTGCTGACTGCACAGTTCGTGCTGGTCAATGTGGTCATCGCCGTGCTCATGAAGCATCTAGAAGAGAGTAACAAGGAGGCTAAGGAGGAAGCGGAGCTAGAGGCGGAGCTAGAGGCGGAGCTGGAGCTGCAAACCATAGGGGGAGAGGGCGGGGTCATGGGACCACGCCTCTCTCCCTTGGCTTTGAGTGATTCTGGTGGGCCTGGGGTGCCACCCTGGATGTGCGGAGACCTTCAGGAAAGAGCTGGCCCACTGGACAGTCCCAGAGACCTTACACACATAAAGGCAGACTCCACCCTGTGCCTTGAGCCACCCCGTTCGGTAAGTGACTTCCTGTGCATTCAGTCTGATGTGTCTCATCACCTCTTTAACCTCGGGTGGTTCCTCTTTCTTCATTGTAATAATTACGTGAGCATCGACATCTATTTGTTTACAGTTCATTTTGAAATGCTTTGAAGGTCAGAACGAACCGGACAGCTGAAAATGGTTCGTTTCATACTTTTTAAACTGTACATGACTATCACACTACTAATACGATAGCAGCGGTCATTGGCAATGCAGAAAAACCGTGGACTTGGCAGGAAACGATAACATATGTCTGTGCCAGTAATACTAGGCGGTATCCTGCCCAAGGAGTTGTAGCAGACTGTTTCTAAGCAGGTGATGTCTGGAACAGTGCAGAATGACCTACATATTCAATGTATTATAAAAGTCCAATACCTTTACCATCTGTTTAGTCAATGTCAGTGTCTTCCTCATGGTCAAGTACACTTGCAAAATATCTACTTGTGTTATTTTATTCCTGGAGAAAACATACAATAGTCACATCCAATAATCTATTCCTTAGCAACCTGCTGAAAGTACAAAAATATTTTTGAAAGAAGTGGGCATGAAGTTGCTTGGTATAAGGGTATGTTCACATTACAAGCCCCCTTGTCCAATTCCGTTTTTTTGTTCAGATTGGATTTGCCCATCTTAATGGTTCATATTCATAAAGTGACCTGTATCTGACTGTAATGTGAACGCATCTGTCCTCTGAAACAGTTTGCATGTGCACATTGATACGTTTTTGCACGAGTCATCTGTGTCACCAACAACAAAGAAATGCTCAGCACACACAGAAAGGCAAAGGACCACATGAATTCCGATCTGACCATTCACATTCATGTCACATGGCCACAAATCGGATATATATCTGATCTAGGACCACATATGAAAGTGACTTCAATCTGATTTGAAAATATCAGATTTGTGTCTCCACACAGCCCTGAAAAAATCAGATCTGAGTCACATTCAAGCAAAAAGATCAGATTTGAGACACTTCAGCTTGGTGGTGTGAACATAGCCCAGGGGTGGGCAGTCTTACCCAGAAAGGGCCGCTGAGTGTGTGGGTTTTCGCTGCAACTTCCTAATTAGATTACTAATTAGAGGACTGATTGGCTAAAGAGTCCTCACACCTGGATTTGAACAGCTGACCTAAAGGTTATCCCCAAAACCTGCATACACACCGGCCCTTTGCGGATAAGATTGGCCATCCCTGATATAGCCTAAGGCTTTCTCAGTCAAGCCTACTGCCCACTGGCCCAACGACAGAATCCAGTTGGGCAGCTAAAGGCTCTGAATGCATGTGGATGTTTCATTGAAAAAAAGTTACTTAAACTTCAAAGTAAACCAAATTAAATTTTTTAATTTAGGATTTATTTTTTAACACTTTTATTATGATCTTCAGATAATTTAGGGTGATTCTGATTATTCCTAACTTCTTTTTTTGACTGAGCTAATTCCTTCCGGACTGTAATGTCATGTTTTGATTTAAGATTCACTTTCAGCTGATTAAGCAATACACACAAGGACCAGGAGTAGCCGGAGTGAGCTTAGTTCAGTGGCTCCAGGACACTGTAAGCTGGCACAATGCCAACGTGTTTGGTCAATTCAGCTCAGGGACTGGTGCAATTCCAGTAGATCTGATTTATTCAAGTCATATGCTGCAAGGCAGTTGTCACTAAGTTTAATGACTTCAGCTCAGAGACTGATACATTTTCTGATACACTTCATGTCTGATCCACTCAGCTCCGAAGCTGCAAACCAGTAATCAGTGTACTTGATCAGTTCAACTGACTTAGCTGAGAGGCTGCCAAGCAGTTTATCACTGTATAGTATTATGTAGTTATTCAGGGCCAGTTTAACCAACCCAAGTCAAAAAGCTAGAGTCACTAGACTAATACCCAGAGCTGTTACAATGCTCTAGTGTGTACTAATCCTGTCCAGCAACTGGACATGTCAATTGCAATTTAAATCAAAGTAGATCAACCTAAAGTGGTCACTTGACAACATAACACACCAGATGCAAAGCTATACAGAGTCAAAGTAATAGTATAGAGTGACATCCCAGCAGAAGTTACACATGTGCTAATATCACATAATGCTATTCTGTGTGGACTTGAGTGACCTGCGTCAAAATGGGCAAGAAGAAAAGGGACGAGCAATGAATGGATTTATGAGCATAAGGTATGCAAGAGCATGCCTGTGGGCAACTTCTCGTTCAGTGTGGGTTGACAGTTCAGTTCCCCCCTAGGGTGAAAAACAGCACAGAGCCAAAGGAGGTCAGGATCACAGATTCCTATCTAAGTCATTAGCCTTACAAACCNCATGTGCTAATATCACATAATGCTATTCTGTGTGGACTTGAGTGACCTGCGTCAAAATGGGCAAGAAGAAAAGGGACGAGCAATGAATGGATTTAGGTCCAACAGACATGCCAGAGTGAGTGTGTGAACATAGTCCCGTCAGAGCTGATTTGACAGTTCAGTTCCCCCCTAGGGTGAAAAACAGCACAGAGCCAAAGGAGGTCAGGATCACAGATTCCTATCTAAGTCATTAGCCTTACAAACCATTAAGTGACAGCGAAATCAACCAATCAAAGTCAGAGCTGAGCTCATGAAAAAACAATGGGGATCATGGTGGATGACGTGACATTTTTTCATAAATACAGTCTGTTGATGACAGTAGCTTCAAGAAGACATTTTTTAAGGATGATTCCAGCATTAATAAATATAAATAATATATAACCGATATAAATATAAGCATACATGAATATTTCTATATTTATGTAATAGAAAGGTATTAATATAAAAATTATCTGTTTTAAACATATGACTTACATTGTGGTATATCTGGGTAGTGTCATTCCGAAGTTGCAGGGAGGATTAACTTTTTGTCTCCACTGATATTTTGCATTTTCTGAAGAGCTGAAACAGGGGATTTGGGCAGGAAGGGCATGGGCCCAATTACAGGCAGCTCAGTCTGAGGCTGCTTTGAAGCCAGAATTGAATGCGGCCTGCTTGTGAAGTATTTCCGCTCCAGAGAATAGTCTGTGCAGGCTGGGGTGTCGGCCGCCGTGACCCGCTGTGAGCTCGGAACCCTCAAGCGCAGTTTCACGCGTTGAATAAAACCAGTGTTTCATCAGGAAAGAGCCATGGAACAGTGACTTGAAATAAGGTCTCCTTAATGACCCAGGGCTGGTACTTTGTCACGTGATGTGTGACGTGTGTATTATGAATTGACCAAAAAATGGTCTTGTCAGACGAGATGCAGCTCCACATGTCTTTACAGTTTCCGGCTTCCATGAAAATGTCATTATGAGGCCTTCAGCTTTTTTTATGCATTGACTAACTTGGATATCAGACGGGATGTCAGAACGGTGACGTCAAAACAAGATTTTGGATGTATTATTTTTTAAACCAAACATTTCATATAAAACTTTTCATTTCTTCTAACATTTTGCTTTTGATTTAAGTTTAATATTTATTATAAATTCTGGACATTAAAGTTACTTTTTTAAATTATTAATTTAGCATAGATCAAAATGTGGTTGTAATATATAATATGATTAATGACACATTCTTATTCAGGAACAAATTGTAATAATAAATATTCTAGGGTTGTATACAATATATTCAGTTTTTTTTAGCTCAAGCTCAAAAAAAGCTAGAAATTTTCAGCCACTGTATGTTATGCTTACAGTGATTCAATGTGCAAAAACAAAGCAGTTGCCATAGAAATGAAGCTGTGCCAAATTAATTTATATTTGGTCTGACGTAGGAAAGTACATTCACAGCTCAGTATATTGTGACATTGTTTGCCTAGACAGGATATGGTTAGTTTTGTTATGAAGAGAAAATACAACGTATAGGTCAGACATGTCATGGGAAAGAAGATACATTTCTTTCATCCTTAATAACTATTTATTTCATAATGCAGTAGGTTTATTTTTGCAGTAAATAAAACTTGTGCTTGCAAAATAAGACCCCCTTCCTTTCTGCTCCTAGCACATGCATCGATGCATCCTAATTCACTTTGGCAGCGAGACAGATTGGTTTCCCAGCAGTACTGTAGTGCCCCCTGTTGGATTCCTTTGGATTTCATTTAGAAATATAGCCAAGTACATAGCAATCCAACCAGTGAGATACAAATACAGCTTGAGACTTTTATGAAGGCCCTTTGGTTCTTTAATTGGGAGCTTCAGTGTACTATGAATGTGTTATTCACTTAGGCCATATGTGGGTATACAGTGTATACAGCTCCTGCAATACAGAGTATTTATGAATACACTGGTCTTCATAATCTGGTATACATAGTAGTACTCTGTTTCATGTATGCATCTTATGCCCTAACTCCAGGGCTGGGCCCATTCTGGAATGCATTCATCAATTCCAATCAATTCAGGAAATGGAACTGGAGTTGGAATTTAAATCTCCCTGAAATTCCAACTCATTTACAATTCTTTTCCCCACAGTATTTTTTTCCAGTCCCAACTCCTGTTCCATTTCCTGATTTGGACTGTAATAGATGGATGTATTGTGGAATGGCCCCGACCCTGCCTAACACTTCAGTAACAGTCTGCAGATAAACTGAAACTCTACGCTGCTCTCTCCTGTCTCTTTTTGTGTGTTTGTCCTGCCTCATGACCTCCTGGATCTTTCTCCCTGAACTTTCCCCTCCCTGCCTTCTCTCGCCTCCCCCGCCTCCTCCTTCCCATCCCCGTAACATTGGCCCTCCCTCCGCGCCCCTTTGCCTTCCTCCCTGTCCTGCCTGCACGCTGGTCCCCAGCGGAGGGTCATGCTTGACTCCGTGTCCCTGGTGATCCAGGGTTCACTGGAGGGGGAGCTCAGCCTTATGGACAACCTGTCAGGCTCCATCTTCCACTGCTACGCCCTGCCCCCCCAGCCCTGCAAGTACTCCACTGAGAAACAGGTCAATCTCTCACACCTACACTACGCTGCCCCCTGCCCACCTGCCACCACTGACACCCACTCCTCCCATCTCTCTCTGTACCCCAGACCACCCGTGCTGTGTGTCCAAGTCCCCTCTCAGTCGTCCTGTGATCAATGCTTTGTGCAATTGGATTACACAAGTGCAACGATACTTAGCGTGCTTAGAGGTGGTGTCATCATTCCTTGGCCCTATCAAAGAATAGCCTGGCAGCCTTTGTAGACCTATCATGTGAGACAGGGAGATCCACCATCAGGTCAGGTTCCTGGAGAACATTTTGAACAGTCTTATCCTCTTCGATATGTTGCTGCTTCCACGCAGACCACTTTGGCTGGAGACCACAAATGGGATCTATGCCTCTTTATCAGAGACGGGAGATAAGGGCTATGAACAGGGACCAGGAGTTTTTTTGCCAGTGCGTGAGGGTCAGCAGGGCTATTATGGTATAATGCAGTGATCAATAAACTAGGTGATGCCTTAAATGTGCACATAAATGCCTTTGTGTTTCTTTTTTTACCCATTCAGGATGAAATATGACTTGGAACAAGATTAGTGTGGTGAAACGATTCCATGTTAAAGCTTTTTAAAGTAAATGGAGGTTTCTAAATGCCTCAAGAACACCAGCACTGTTTTTTTCTTTAAATTAACTGGCACCTCAACCTTTGCCTGTAGGTCTCGGCCCTCTCTCCCTTCTGCCTGGATTATTCCTTAGCTTGTCAGAAAGCATTTCTTCAGTTAAGTCTCCATAACCAACGCGGGTGATGAGGCCAGGCCCGGCCTGCGTCTCTGGCACCTCTAACAAGGCATAGAGAAATTCTAGAAAATGTATAGAGTTTTCTGGAAAGTCTGTGCTGAGGATGCTGAGCGATTGCTGCTGATGAGGGACTTCTGCAAGCCTGCTCTGTAACGTAGGGCGAGTCCCGACCGCCCCACCACCCCCTGCTGTCCAACAGCCAGGGTCCTTTTCTTTGTGGGTTTGTTTTCACAACGTGACTGTCTCTTCTCCATACATGTGTGTTTCTCACTCATGGGAGTTTTACTTACACAAAAATGTTCTGAGTGCAGAACAAAAAATGATTGGTTCAGAGAGATAACCAATCAGATTGTAGAAGAGGTGGGTTCAAGCAATTAGAGGAGGCGAGGCCAACCAATCAGATGTCTTGGTCCCGCCTCCTGTACAATCTGATTGGTTGTCTCTCTGAACCAATCATTTTTTTGTTCTGCCTTCAGAACATTTTTCTGTGAGTAAACCTGCCACAAGTGTGTCTCTCACCCCTGTGTATCGCTCCCAGCTTCTTCCTGACACTGGCACTTCTGTGCATGTCACCATACAGGTGTGTCCATCTAAAAGTCTACCTGGGTCCCCACTTGCTAACGTTCTGTATCCCCATTCGTCTGTCTGTCCGTGACTGCCAGGGATGGCCGTTCTCACCCTTGGCTCATCTCTTCCTGTTTAGATCCCTCTAGCGGAGATGGAAGCTCTGTCTCTGACGTCGGAGAAATCCTGGTCCTTAGCTCTGACGGACGACTCTGTCCCCGACGATTTTAACCCCTTCTTACTAACCAGTTTGGAGTGCAATGTACTCACAGTAGAGCAAAACTCATTCTCTTCTGCGGTCCTCTTGGTCCACCCAGGGCTTCCAAACACACCTGCATCCAAGCTCCCCCTTCACCTTACCAACCAACCCAGAAGGTGGCTGTCTCATGACAGGCCGTCCTTCAGTGTCGCTTCCTGTCCTAATAATGAAAGTAACCCACTGAATGAAACCACATAATAACATTAAATAACATTGTAGTAATGGCATTCTTACGAGTTCCTCACAACTTTGAAATGGTTCACAATTTCAGATGAATAAGCGATGCCCTTGGTAAGAATTACACTCGGGTAAAAGATTCAGAAACAGATCATTAAAGCTCTAAATTGGGATGTGCAATCGATGGTAGGGGTGTGGCTGGTTTGTGCTGGTGTGCCTCCTCGGATGCCCTGGGCTTCTTAACCATACGCTTCTCTTTCTGGATCCCATCTCTCTTCTAGCTTCTGTCTTCTGCCGTGTACCCGTCCGTCTCTCTGTCTGTCTTTTTCTCTGTGTATCTCTGTCTGGCTCTGCTTTGTGGTCGCTCCTGTTTTGGGTTCTGTCTGTCTGGTCCTCTCCGTGTTTTACATGGTGACCACCGGCTGCCTTTCCTGTCTTCTGACAGAGGCCGTGGGCAGAGCTTGCACAGAGAGGAAATGGGCACAGCCGTGATAGGGGTAGAGTCACGACTAATTCATGGCATCGAATCAGAATGAATTTGGTCAGAATAAAATGACACTGATGATGCATTAACCTGGCTTTTTGTTGTTGAAACATCAGTATTTCAACAGGCATCTGTTACGTATATGTTTATATATATATATATATATATGTGCAAATATTCTGTGACCAGGATGGTCCTGTTAGGATGGATTGGGAGAAGGACCGCCATGCTACAGCCCGTGTTATCACTGTGTCCGTCTCCTACTTGTGACCAGCGTGAAATGGTGCCGTCTTTCAACCATCGTGTGCCAACGCATCCAGCCTTTGTATGTCTGCCTGTTTGTGGGGAGTGGTCTCTCGGCGTGGCCCCTGCACCCACCTTTCGCCTTGCCACTGCACCGCTCACTCTGTCCCTCCATCTCTAGCCGGAGCCTGTCGGCACGGGGGAGAAGCTGGAGGAGAACATGCTGAGCGTGAGAAAGGCACTAGTGGGCCGCACCCACTCCCTGCCCAATGACAGCTACATGTTTCTCCCCATGTGGGCCACGTCCAACGCAGGCAAGCACGCCTCCCCGAAGAGGGCCCAGTCAGGTACCGACGCCTACAGCTGTCACTCACTCCTCATTCATCACACGCGCAGTGCTGTGCATGGCCGTCAAAGGAAATGTGTTAAGCTATGTATCTAGCCAGTACATTTCCGCAGAAAAAAAAAAAACACAACAAAACAATTTACACAAACACAATAAAAACTAAATATAGGGAGAACATTTTAAAACAAATTTGAGGAAGCACTTCTTTACACAGCGTGTAGTTAGAGTATGGAATAGTCTTCCTGCTATTGTAGTGGAAGCTAAAACCATGGGTTCCTTTAAATCAGAGCTAGATAAGATTTTAACAACTCTGAGCTATTAGCTAAGTTCTCCCCAAACGAGCTTGATGGGCCGAATGGCCTCCTCTCGTTTGTAAATTTCTTATGTTCTTATGTTCTTATAGCAAGAATTTCTTCTGTTCTCCAAAAAGTCACTGATATTTTCTTGGATAGATCGAGGAGTGCCGTTTTGGTTTGCAAACTTCACCTCGGGGACACCTCAGCCATTTCTTGCACTCGTTCCATTTAACCACCGGCTCTCTTAATTAGTTAACTTGATTGATTGATTTTCCACACAAAGTGGGATAGTGCTTGTGTTATACAACACATGGGTAAATTGGATGGTTGCTGCAAGTATTGGGGTGACTTTAAGGACGGCATTGAAATGACTTGGCTACAGACATAATGTCAAACATTTTTACCAACACAAAGATAATTTAAGCATTATTTTGTTTGACTTTAACTCGAGCGCTCGATGCTGCCCCCTTGTGTTTGTCGCAGGCTCCAGCAGCTCAGTGCGGTCGCAGCCAGAGGAAAGCTCCCAGCAGCTGGCGGTGCCCTCTGACCTCTTTCGCCCAATCAGCCCCCACAGCCTCTCCGATTCGGAGAGCATCCCACGCATCCCTCCCCCCCGTCGAGGCCACACCTTTGCCCGTACTTTACGCAGACAGGTGAGTGCAAATTGATTTTGCGCATGACAACGCAATAGAATATTTCAATAACACAAAGGTATAGAACACATAGCCCTTAAGCTGTGTCAAGTACGTAACAAAGGAAAATACAGAAACATATCGCAGGATACATCATTTAAAATTTTTTTTTACATATTATTACAATAATATTATGATGTATTACAACAATATTACAAGAAAAAAAAAAACGAGAGTATTGAGAATAACTCAAGATATAATTTAAATACTATCACTGGGCTCATCAGTTAAATATTATATGACATACTGTAGGAACAACTGCAGGAAGATCCTAATTATACTACAGGATATAAATCATGCATAATGTACGTATAACTGAGTTTATCATCATAGTATTTGCATATTCCACACAGTTTAACGGCAATATTTCACTTGGTATCTCTTATACAAACTGATAGATTTAAGAAACGTTTAGCAGTGGGTATATTATAAATGCATGTAACATATTCTAAACAACTGGCATATAAGTGCTGGTAACAGGCTTTCAACTCAAATCAGTCTTTGTATGATGGTTTAAATCTTCATTTCCATATTGTCATTGATAGTCTTAACTAACTACGCTGTCTTTGAATTCTTTTCTCTATGTCTGTTGTTTTTTTGCTTGGTAAATTACTAAACCCTCAGATCAGCCTGGTCCATCGCAAGCCAGACCCAAAGCTGCAACTCAGAGACAGATATTCCTGTTTCTGAAACGCCCCCCCCCCCCCCCTCAAACCTTCACCCTTCCAAACCCAGCCCCCACCACCACCTCCCCGTCCACACCCCCATGTTTCACCACCAAATGTATTGCACTGTGCAAAAGCCTCTGGCAGTCAAAGGAAATGATGCTTCAATGATCTTCGTGTAAAACTGTGACGTCTGTAAAAGTGTGTGAGTGCAAGCATATCAGAGCCTCTCCTGAAATCACCCCGGTATTTACAGCAACCATGCAAGTCACCCATGCAGTTGTTGACTTGACCGCTGGCACACCTGATACCCACTGACTTTGTAAACTAGTTTAATTAATTAAGTGAGCTGGTTGTGAAATTTATCAAATGCATGGAATGGCGGAGGTGCCCTCGAGGAGAGGTTAGGAAACTGAAACGGTGTTCATCTACCCATCCAATAACGATATCAGCAACATTTTGGTGAACAGAAGAAATTCTTGTTTGTTTTTATCGTCTTACTCTTAATTTGAATAGGTTCTAATGTTAAATTGTGATTTTTCATCGGCAAAATATAAACTTACTACCCAGATAAATAGTTTAAACATTTCCTTTGACTGCCTATGACTTTTGCACAGTACTGTATGTCACAGGGACTCTGTCACCATAGATCAGGACAGGGGCACAGGGACCTCTGTTGGATAGGGAGGTCACTGCCTGTAGAATACATTTACAGTTTGTTTACACATAGCATATGCAGTTGGTTAGAAACAGTTACCAAAGCAGAAACAGAGGTTAGAAACAGAGGTATTGTAAATGTGATATAAGGCTGTTCCTCTACAGTGGTTGGCTAATGCAGGAGCAAGCTGTTTTGTAAAGGAAAATATATCATTTTATACTGAAATGCTTACTTTCCAAGACACTGAAAAGCAGGTTACCTACTACCGTTACTGGACTTAAAAAGAACATCTGCTGTGATTAAGCTGAATTGCCTGAGTACAACTTCCAATCTTCATTTTATCATGCAAAACCATACCTCTGGGGATATTCTCCGATATCCTGCAGCATGTATTCAGACTCAGGAGATAATACTGGATTTCTCACTGCACTTGTGAGTGCAGGCTACTGGGGGAAAAAGAACAAGCAAATGTAACTTCATCTTGGTTTTTTTATGACTAGCGGTTTATTTGGATTACTGACAAGGTCCTATGGATAGTATTTGCTTGAATTAGATTTTTTACTATAATATGTATGCTTGTCAGGGATGTAAAATCTGTAAAATAATACGAAAAATTGGAATGGGGGGTGGCAAGGTAGCATGGCAAGGTACCACCACGGGATTTCTAGGTATGTCCTTTTTGCTTGTATATACACCGATATTACATTTTTATAATTCATTTGTACAGAATTTTTTTAAAACTTTATACTGCTTCAGCTCGTTCTTCAACTTAGAAACACTTTTTTAAAGTGCTTACTTTCCTTTTTGTTAAAACACAATGCATTTTCGCAGATAGTAATGGAAAATGTAGCAAAATCAGTGAATCAAAATAAAATCAAAATCAATGCTGCAAAATCAATGAAGGAAAAGCTGGTACATCGTTTTGTCCACTAGATGTCCTCGTGGTCTCCCTTATGCTTGTGCTGAGACACCCATACGCAGACTGAGAGATTTGACCTTCCATGCACGGTGTTCTGTCTTTTCTTGGTCAGCCTTTTCTGTGTCAGGCCACTGGCCAGGTCTGGTTTCTTGACCCTTGGCTTCACAGCTCCTGTCTTCCAAAACATTGCTCTGTTCTCTGCATTCTTTGCCTGCAGCTGTCTGTGGGAGAGGAAAGGTCACGAGCAGAGAATTGGGCTGTTGGGTGCATGTCCTCAAAACACCCTCAGCCCAGAAGGGCCATAAATTTAAAAAAACAGCTGAAACTTTCTCTTGCCTTCATTATATAGTTTTGTAAATAAAATCCCCTTGTTTCAGCCTGCTACTATTCTCAAAAATAGCAGAGCACCTACACTACCAGTAAAAAGTTTTTGCACGCACTGAGATTTTCTACATGTGCATGTTACTTACTTAACATTTACTAAAAATACACTCAAGATTCTTTGTTAACAAAGATATTTACAGTATGTTCACCGTTTGACTACCTTTACTAGCAAAAAATGCCATATCTTTAGTTCACCAAAATAGCCTTCTCTAGCAGTTATAACAGCAGAGAAAATTCGAGGCATTCTTTCTACAAGGGACATTAAATTCTGCTGTATTTCATGGGATGAAACAGTTAAGTAGCGCATTTAAAGTTAAAGGACAGCCTAGAATTTTACTATCCCATCATCAAACAACCAGATAATAGGATGTCAGACATGTAGTGTCACATACTCTTTCCAGGTTACAAAGGAAACTTGTCTTGAATTAAATTTTCATTTATAGTTGTTCACTCAACTTTCCAGTGATTAACAAGTATAAAAAATCTGCAGTTTATGAAATAAATGGAAAAGCGGTATAAACCTGTGGTCTGCAAGAACGTTTGACTGGTAGTGTACGTGTCTCCTTGCACCAAAGAAATTTGCCTGAAACTCCATGTTTTTTTCCAGTTCAATTCAAGCAGTGAAATCTGAAAGCTGTACTCTCTTCACAGTCCAAATGTAACATGTCTGTAAATTCATTATGTCCCCCCGAATTCTCCACTCCTTTTGTGTTGCGCAATGCTGTTTTTTTTTCTCAGTGTCAGCTGACCGGTGTGTTTTTTTTTTTTTTTTTGAGAGCTCTCTAATTTTCATCTGACGGAAAGTCAAGCTGTTGTGATAATTGGCTTGCACATCTGAGATAGCAAGCTGAGCACCCTGTTATGTGGAGTAGAAATTAGTCACTTATTATTATTATTCGCTGTAATGGTAGCGCGCCGTTCCTCCTTGAAACTTCGAATTCATGGAGGGAGCTGGTGTTATATGTAGTGCGATTCATGTATTGATTAGTAGAGATTTTAGAGTTGAAACAGGTCGTTTCTGTGTTGGGCAACACACTTTAGGTTTGTTTGTTAAGCTAAGTCAAGTGGGGGCAGGGAGGAGGGGTGGCACATATTGGCAGACAATGTAGAAGTCAACAGTGACGGAATGTTTAGAATGGGCAATGATGGAAGCTGCAGAGCATGTAAGCTGTCATCATGCTAGCTTTCTTTTTTAGAGTACAGACTTGTGAAAACACTTATAATCTCAAAGCGACTTTGCTTTTATTAAAAATTTGACAGCTTGCACACATCAATCCCTGAAACAAATCCCTATGAATTCATAAGGGTTTCACCACTACAACCCATCCCCTTTGACCAGTTCACACTAACCAGTCTCCCTTTCACCTCCCCTTCCCCGCCTACCTCACCGCCCACTCATTCCCCCCATCACTCCAGGTGGCTGTGGTCAATGACTCGCAGGAGGCACTCTGTACAGAGGCAGAGGAGGCTGGCAGAGCACAAGGACATGGGGGCTTGTCTGTGGCACCTATAGGCTTCCCTACCCAGCAGAAACAGCAGCACCAGCAGCCCACGGTCCTCCTGGTTCCTGCCACCCCCGGGGCCTCCCCGAGTCCTACCCGCTCCAGCGTGCACACCCAACACACCGTCCACAACCAGCGCAATGTCTCCAAGACCCCCCCGCCCCCTCGCCTCCCCGTGCCCCCGGCATGCAGCAAGACCGAGGAGAAGACAGAGGATGACTCGGTGGACCAGGAGGTATCCCGCATCATCCGGGCAGGTTTAGTGAGCAGCGCCGGCGGAGATGGCGGCGGGAGTCACAGCCCCTACCGGAGGCAGCTAAAGAAGTTCCACAGTGCGGACACACAGGGCCGGCGGGTGCTGCTGGCGCGGCCCGCCTCTTGGCTGGACGACCCACGGCGGCACTCCATCGAGGTGTGCTCCTCGGTGGAGAGCAGCCCCCAACGCAGCCCCCAGCGTAGCTCCGCATCCTCAGGCTTTGTGTCGCGCGCCAACAGCCTGCAGCAGGCGGTGCCGCTCCTGCCCTCCTCTCCCCGCCGCAAGAAGAAGATGAGCCCCCCCTGCATCTCCGTGGAGCCACCCGAGACGCAGGACACCACGCTGGCCAGCCAGGACACCTGCCTGAGACGGCGGGCGCCCTCCAGCGACTCTAAGGACTCCTTCGACCTCGGGAGCGGGGATGGATCGCTCCAAGATCCCGCTCCCACCCCTAAGCTATTGACTCTGCCCAGCTTCTCCTCCCAGAAAACGAGCGCCGAGCACTGAGCACTGAATCGCACAGGCGAGCGGGAACACACTGACCATGATAGTCATAGTAACAATACTGTAGAGTAATAAAGATGATAATATTTACAGCGGTACCTATCCATGATCATCGAGTAATGACCATCTTTTGTCTTTTTTCTGTATTGATAAAATAAAGACATACAGAAGAAAAAAAAACTGCTTAAAGATGAAAAACATGACTGTTCCTCTTCCAAGACACTTGCAAAAGTCTGCAGGTGAATCCCAACACCTCGTTCAGAGAAGTCGGCACAAGGCCCTGCTTGGGGCGCCCTCTGCTGGCTCCTGCTAGGCTGCCAGCTATGGTACTGTAGGACTCCGGCCAGAACAGGGCCGCTGTGGAGGTACAAAGCAATATGAACGTTTTAGAGACACTATTTTCTTAAATTATTTGGTCATAGTGTTTGTACAGGATGTAGATTTTTTTAATTTCATTCTATTTTTATTTGGTTTTTTTTTTGTGATTTTTTTTCAACGTTAAATTGTTGTTTGTTTTATTTTTTCACCATAGGATATTTTTAGCGTTGTTGATTTAACAAAGGAAAAAAAGAAAAACATTTTCCAAAGTGCTGAGACCCATGTATTTGTAGGAATAATACAAAAAGTTAATTATTAAACTGTTCATCAATTTTTAAGCACAAGAGCAAACCATAGTGCATTGAACATTCACATAAAATAAAAATGAATACATTGTTTTGCATTTAGGAATACTATCTGTAATGAGTGGGGAGGACAGACTTGTGGGCAAGCTTCACAGAATTGTGCGTTTAAAAGTAAGCTACCAAAGAAAGTGAGATTGTATGGTGGTGATGGAAACATGGCCCCAGACAGGTAAAGCTAAACTGAGAATGATGCTAACAGACCTGTTCATTTATTACCGAACAGTGTTCTGGAGACCTTAAACTTTACATGCGTAACATTCAACACGAAAAGTGGGCGGGGTTTCCACTTGTGTGCTTATCTGTGGTGCTGAGTTCAGTTTCAAGTGTCATTTGTAAATTAGACGTTCAAACCTGGTAATGCCATTAGCCTTTTGCTAAACTTTTAAATTGTTTGTCTGCCTCTCTTTAATTTATCACAACCTCTTATGTAAGCTCCATCAGGAATATATGTATTTTTGCATTTAGTTTTAATTCACATATATTTCCCTTGAGTAAGCTGAAAAAAAAGTCAAAATCAGAAGTATGAACAGTTTGGATAGTAATTCAAAAGCTTTTATGTGACATAATTTGCACCAGTAAAAAATGTACTCTTCTATGTTGTTGATTTTTTGAGCTTAGATTATCCCCCCAGATTTTGATACAGATCAGTATTTATACTTAATATGTAAAAACTTGGCTGGATATAGAGAAGTACCGTGCAAAGAGGAGAGCAAGAACGGTTTGTCTGTGCCTAGAACACATTAGTGATAGTCTGACTAATGTCTAGCATACCTAGTTATTAAAACATTAAACCGTTTAAAAGAACCATTCCAGTGTGCTGTTTTGATTTACATTTAATGTGAATTTAATGATTGCAACAGTGAATGCAGCCTCCTTGCCTCCGCATCTTCAGACCTTGACGTAGGTGAGGGAAAAAACAGAGTCCTCTTTCAGTTCAGTTCAGTTTAGTTCAATTCAGTTCAATTACTTTATTGTCATTGTGTAACATAACAAAATTACTTTTATGACAACCTCAAAGATGCATTTAAAGAATGCAAATAGTTAACAATACAATCAATACAAAATAAAAGCTAAAATTAAAATCAGCTCAAATTATTCAGTCACATAATTTCATCTAATTCGCTCTGCTGATGGGGCACCAGTACATCTTCGGGCCCCTCTGAGATGAAGATAGCAATTAAATAAGAAATGTACTCACTACACATGTCCATTCACATCTCTATCAATAGCATCTTTTTTCATTGTAAAGGTCTCGTTCACTGAAACACTATAGCATTCTCAGCATTTTCCCGCACTTTTTAAAATGATGTATCCCTGCTCAGAGCCCAGAGCCTGAGGTGTTTCTCAAAAAAAAAAAGAAATCCAAGAAATCATTTGAAAATTGATCGAGCTCCTTAGGCCTGAACGGCATGTTAAGAGGATTTATCCTTGGTCTTCCCACTTGTGATAGTAATCCCGTAACTTTCTTTCCTTTGAGCTCCATTTATTATGGCATCTGTTCTAATTAAGATACCAGACTTAAGTTGATGATACACACGGCAACCTTTAGAGCAATTGCCAACCATGTGAGATAAAGGGCAATTCATCTGGATCTGGATGATCATGAAAATTTGGCCATTTTTTTTCATGTAGATATTTGTCGAAAAGTATATGACTGGGTACGTATTCAAGCACCATTTGTCAACAACCTTGCCCTGTGCATTGTCACCCTTAGTTTTCTGAAATCATCCCAAACTCCATTACCAGATTGCCTGTCCCCATTTGTGTGGCCACCTCAATGTGCACCTTTACCATCATACCCCTTGAGTTTGTTACACAACCTGCTGTTAGCTTACTGGTCCCATTCTCTGCACCCCATGATTTTTATTATAGAGCTGTTTCTCGTGCTAATTTGCTGACTGGATGACCTCTGCATCTACTAGAGTTCTCCTTTAAGCATTATCTGGATTTCAGGTAGGTCCTGTGCACTGGGTCTCTCACTTCATTATCCATTGCTTACAGGGGCAGAATTTTGGGGGGGGGGTCCCTGTGAATTTTGACCTTTTTTGTAACAAAACCTATGAAACGAATGTTAACTCCAAATGGTTCATATAACAGTTTTGGTTAAAATATAATATCTATCCATCCATTAACCTCCGCTTGTCTGGGGTTCGGGTTGTGGGAGTAGCAGCTTCAGGAGAGATACCCAGACCTCCCTCTCCCCAGCTACCTCTACCAGCTCTTCGGGGAGGATGCCGAGGTGTTCCCAGGCCAGCCGAGAGATATAACCCCTCCAGTGTGTCCTGGGTCTGCCCCAGGGCCTCCTCCCTGTAGGACATGCACGGAAAACCTCTCCGGGTAGCCGCCCAGGAGGCATCCGCACCAGATGTCCAAACCACCTCAACTGGCTCCTTTCGACGTGGAAAAGCAGCGGTTCTACTCTCAGACTCTCCTGGATATCCAAACTTCTCACCTTATCCCTAAGGGAGAGCCCAGACACCCTGCGGAGAAACCTCACCTCGGCCACCTGTATTCGCGATCTCATTCTTTCGGTCATTACCCATAGCTCATGACCAAAGGTGAGGGTAGGGACGAAGATGGACCAATAGATCGAGAGCTTTGCTTTCTGGCTCAGTTCTTTCTTAGCCACGACAAACCAGTTAAGCGCCTGCAAAACTGCAGATGCCGCTCCGATTCATCTGTCCAGCTCTCGATCTCGCCTACCCTCACTCGTGAACAAGACCCTGAGATACTTGAACTCCTCAGATTTCTTAAAGGCTGTGTGCGTAGATGTATCTGAGGCAAAGTATTCCTTCCACCTCCGGGTGATGTCCCCAGGTGAGGTCAACAGCACCCCCTCCCCACCATAAATAGTAGGAACCGGGAGCTGCTTCCCCCTCCTGATATTCCGAATGGTTTGAAAGAACCTTTTGGAGGACGACCGAAAGTCACTTTCCATGGCCTGACCAAATTCCTCCCACGCCCAGTTTTTTGCTTCCACAACCGCCTGAGCCACATTCCGCCTGGTCTGCCGGTACCCGTCAGCTGCCTCTGGAGACCCCCAGGCTAATAATTCCCGTTAGGCCTCCTTCTTCAGCTTGACAGCCCCCCTCACCTCTGGTGTACACCATCGGGTACAAGGGTTACCGCCACGACTGGCACTGACCACCTTGCAGCCACAGCTCCGTACGGCCGCTTCCGCAATGGAGGTCCGGAACAGTTGCCCATTCAGACTTAATGTCCCCAACCTCCCCCGGTATGCAGTTTGAATTCTGTCGGAGGTGAGAGTTAAAGCTCCGGCGAACAGGAGCCTCTGCCAGATGTTCCCAGCACAGCCTCACTATGTGCTTGGGCCTGCCAGGCCTGACCGGCTCCCTCCCCCACCACCGCAGCCAACTCACCACCAGGTCGTGGTCAATTGACAGCTCTGCCCCTCTTTTTACCCAAGTGTCCAAGACAGAAGGCCGCAGATCAGATGATACGATTATGAAATCGATCATCGACCAGTAGCCCCAGGCATGTTTGTACCATGTCCACTTATGGACACCCTTATGCTCAGACATGGTGTTCATTATGGACAAACCATACATTCCACAGAAGTCCAATAACAGAACACCACTCGGATTCAGATCAGGGAGGCCGTTCCTCCCAATCACCCCCCTCCAGGCCACACTGTCATTGCCCCCAGCAAAACAATGTGCATAAGCACAGATGACAGTCAGAGACCTATCCCCGACCCGAAGACGCAGGGAGACAGCCCTCTCCTTCACTGGGGTAAACTCCGTTGTTAATGCACCGAGCTATGGGGCCACCAGTAGCCCCACCCCAGCCCGGCATCACTCAACTGCCGCAACTCCAGAAGAAAAGCACGTCCAGCCCCTCTCCAGGAGATTGGTTTCAAAACCAAAATATAATAATGTATAATAATATAATACACCTTAAAATTGACCAATCAATCCGCCAGAGTAACACCCTACTCCTCCTTACCAACAACACTCCGGTCCCCACTCTGAAAGGTAAGTTTTACCGCTGGTACCTGTATTCCGCTCTTTGGTTAGCAGATTATTGATGTTCTGTAGTTTTTAGTTCCCTTTTGTTCCTCTTTGAGTTCCAAAAAAATACCTTAAATGGCCCACTTAAGGAGCCCCCTACCTATGTCAGCCTAGGGCGCCCAGAGAGGTTAGTCAAAGTTGCCAAAAGTTTTTGGTGATCTTCACTTTTATCTCCCATGCTAGGACAATGTAGCCTTCTATGCCATTTCTCATTGATCCAACCATGCTGGGGCTGCTTACTGACTCTCCTCTCATTTTCCCAAGAGTTTGGGTTTATCTCTTGGGTCAAAAACTAGACTAATTCTGCTGGCTTTGAATCCAACTCGACTATCTTTCAGAGTTTCGTGAAACATGTACCTCAAAAATACACCTTACTCTGAATGGATGGTATTAATTAAGGACTGTTCACTACATTATGTTTCAGCATGTCATCTAGATTCTTCAAGGTGCTCCACCTTTTTGGCCTGTCATGGTCACTTAAGAATGTCTGTTTAAAACTAATCCACTTTGCAAGTGTTTCCTGTTTATTCTGCCACCATTGTTTACTTGTCCCTCAGAGATGACATGCTGCTCTTCCAGGGAGGTCCCAAGTATTACATCTAGTCCCTTTGTGAAAGATGCTTCTCCAGGGATTTCAGGAAATCACTGGGGTCACCATCACGGCTTCCACCAAATGGTGTGCCAACGCCTGAAATCTGAGAGCACAGCCCTGCTTGTTTTCAGGTTTCATTCTCGGGGCACCAATCTCCTGTTTTGTATTATGTGTGAAGTCTTTAACATAAGTCAGATTTGTTTGCGTCTTAGGCAATAATGTCCTTGGGGATGAACTAAGCTAGCTTTTGTCTCCGACATACATGCTATTACTCCAGTGTCAAATAAATCCCTGCTAAGCAGATTATAAATTTCTCATTTTCATTCTGCACATTTTTTTTTCACCAACACTGTATAGTCTAAGGTAAATGTTTCAATTAATTCCCTAGCAGCTCTAGCAGTAGTATTAAAGGTTCAAGTAATGCATATGAATCCTCATGGAAATTAGAAGGCAATAAATTAACATTGTAAAATTCCGCAAACCGTCCATGTCCTGATCCCCATTTTGTCAGGGAAAATTGTAGTGCATAAAAAATATGCATTTTTGCTTCAGAAGCGAATAAAAATGTCAACATATTGTATTGTATTTTGTATGGTCCAGTATAGTAAACAAACACATTCATGCACCCTGTCACTCCCTGGCCCATCCGCCCCTCCTACAGTATTTCCTCCATAGCTTGGCCCTAACAAGCCACGCCTATTAAATGTTAGTCTTACCTCTCATTCCCGCCTTCTTGTTAATTACTCCAGCTGCCTCTCATTTGCTCCCTTGTCAGTCTTGTACTTAAATGCTTCCCAGTTCAGTGTTCCCCAGTCCAGTCATTGACATGGTACCCCCAGTAATACCTGTGCCCCGTCTTCCTCCGCTCCTCCCAGTTTTGATGAAAACCAGGGGCTAATTGGAGTTACGAAATTGCCCATAGGTTTGAGTGAATGGTGTTTTAGTGTACCCTGCGTTGGCTTGGTGCCCCATCCTGGGTTGTTCCCTGCCTTGTGCCCGTAGCCTCCAGGAGAGGGTTCAGAAAACAGATGGATGGATGGATAGATATTATTTTCATTCATTTATTTATTTTTTATGTTTGCTTTATTTCAAACATATGTAGCTAGCACCCACCCCCACAGCATAGCTGGTATTATCCCAGTGACACCTTC